CCACTTTTTCCCTGCTCACCTCACATTCTCCTCCAGGAAATATGTATATTGTGATTCTCTCTCCTCCTGTGTCTAAGAGGGTATTTCTCTCCTATAAGAGGGTATCTCTTTAATGTGGACATGAGGGTTATGTGAAAGGAGCCCCAACTAGTCTAAGAGGTAATTTACACCTGTATCTCAAAATATTTCAGAGCGTTTGTGTGGGTGACCAATAGACTGTTGAACTTCTGAGTTTTATTTATAGAAATTTAAGTGTGGTATGATTCACCTGGAGGCATTTCATCTGTTACACACACACACACACACACACACTTAAAATTGTGAGCATATCAGAAGGTAGAGAGAGAAATTCAAAAAGTGTAATAGTTCTGTTTTTTGTAGAGAGTCTCTTTGGAAAAACAAATAAATGGTTAAAGACCATTCCTGAACACAGTACTATACCAACTGATCATATTACCCATAACAATGAGGGTTTTAAACAGAATGTGCTTTAGCCTTCTACATGTTTATACTCCAAAGGATGCGGGCCAGCCAATCCCATGAGACTTACAGTCATTAGATTTTTCCTTTTAATTGTATTAATATTCTGTAGTACTTTTGGCTATCTACCTTACCACTGGCACCACACCAAACAACAACAATAAAACCCTCTATTCTGAAGGTGTGTGTGTGTGGGGGGGGGGGGTTGGGAATGTCTCTATACCTTCAGAGTTTCATTCACTCATGTTAAGGTTGATGCTTATCATCATACTAGGGCCCAGTGCACGAAGTCGTGCACCTTGAAAGAAATTGTGGGCCGCAAGGCTGCTGTGGGCACAGGGGCAGGTCTCTGCCCATCCTCTGCGACCCCTGTCCAGCCCCTTCCACCGCAGCCCCTGGTCCCCTGTCTGCCAGCAGCCCCACTCCTGCTGCCGCTGCTCCCACACATTGACAGCGCCAGCCCCGCTCGCACCTGCTGACAGTGCAGAGTGATTGGGGCCGGCACCAGCAGCGGGTACAAGCAACGGCTGCTGCCCCAATCAGCCCTCAGGAGCAGAGGGAGGTGGAGAAGCCCTTAGGGGCGATTGGGACCAGTGTCGGGCGCTGGCAGCGGGTGCGAGCGCTGGGCAGGACTGCAGTGTGTGGGAGCAAAGAATTTTCAGTAAACACCAGAGGCTTGCCCCAATGACACTGACCAGCACCCTGCCTTGGTCTGGTACCCCCACTCACCTGCTCCACCATCCCACCATGTTCCGCGCACGCCCCCTGGGGGTCAGCGCACATCATAGTGACCAGTTGTTCGGTTATTCCACTGTTCGGTCTATTTGCATATTAGCCTTTTATTATATAGGATTACACATGTGTGGCCAGACACCCTCACAGTTAGAATGGAGAGCTACAGACCTTTAATGGGCCAACCCCTCCCTTCCTTTTACTACAACCCTCCACCATGTCGAGCCTCCTGGGTCATAGCCTTGGGGGATTTAAACCTTTTCTTTCTCCTTCAGTTTCTTTCTCCTTTACCTATGACTTGGTAGGTAAACCAACAGTAGTTCTTCTAACGAACTAGGCTCTATTCTAACCATCATCAGTGGCTGGCTTTCTTTTTCACGTCATGGTCACACATGGCTACCACTATTTGCATGGTAGGACATTTCAACGTTTAATTCTTTTAGTATTTCCTAGTGAAATCAAGAAAGAGATTCAGTGAGTAGGAAAGTAGACAAAATTCCCTTTCCCTTTAGTTGTTTTTTTAGTTTGATCAGTCCTGACATATATCTTTAATCATAAAATAGTAACAAACTAATTTATATTTGGGGGACATTTCCCAGGAAGGGGCTGGGGCAGTAGGTATGCTATAAAGATTTCTCTAGTGAAGGGAAAAGTAATTCTTTTGATCAATAGACAACCTGATGGCATTTTACTGTCACAAATACAAAACCTAAAACTTTTGAAAATAAAAATTCCACTATGCCGACACTCTCAAGCTCCCACCCAGAAAGACCATGCGGTGCTGTATGAAACGGTCTTGTCTCCAAAAACCACTTGCTGGGTTCCCTTTCCTCGTGCTTTCATGCTTTTTCTGTCCTGTGTGGTGGGCACCTAATCCTCTGAATGCATTTCCTTCAAGTGCTTGCAAATAAAGCCCAAGGTTTGCCTTCTCTCCACGTTACAAATAGATGTTTTCTTAATTGGATAATTTATATCTCCTTTTATTATTTCTTCCTGAAACTCAGCTTGGAAACCAGAGCTTAACTGCCAGTGTGCTGGAGGTAAATGCTTCACAGACACACAGACTAGCTGCTCCACAGGTCTCTCCCCATTCCCCCTTCCATGCCACCTTTTATCCGAAATACTTTGACCAAAACCAGGCTTCAGGCCAGCACCCTTTGCCCTGCCTCCACCTGCTGACTTGGGGCCTTCACACCTACACGGACCTCTGTTGACATGAACGCTTCTCCTTGCTTCTGACCACCTTCCCCAGGCAGCACTGCGGGCTCCTGCCATAGACTCCTCCCAATGGAGGGAGTGCTCCCAGCCATCCCAGAGGAACCCCTGATGGCTGACTCTCACACCACAGGTGGCATCTCCTTAGTGGCCCTGCTGCCATGCACGGAACTATGCTTCCTCCCTCTGACCCGTCATTTTCAAACAGGTCTCCAAAGGCCAGAGGACTGATTGCTTGTCTGCCATCTCATTTTGCTGCGGAGCATTTTATTCCCATAGATGCTGATTATTAGTAAACTGATTCTACGTAGTCTACCAGGAAATCCATAACAGTCATCCTCAGAAACCCACTGTGGGCCGAAAAATCAGTTACAATCTCTTCATTCATTTTAGAGTGATTTACGTTCACACTGGTTGCTCTAGCTAATGAGTTGGACAGTGATTGGCCTTAATAAGAAGTCACCTCAGAAATGTAGATAGACACACATATAATATTATGGTGATTGGATTATAGAGAAACTAAAATTTTTCAGAAATGGTAACCCAATATTAGATCATGGTAGATAACGGTTTAACTGGGAGATTCATGTGAATAGTTTATGTACTTCTTTCTCGCCTGCACAACTACTGACTACATCATGCTAATGCCTCTTGCTCCCCCTCACTAACACCTTCATCTCCTGAACCCAAACTACCTTTCAGGACTGAATGATGTAAATGATCCTAACCTACCCTGCAGAAATTGAGCCCTATAATATTTTTGGAATTCTTTTTCCTGAGCCATTCCAGGATAGAATTTTATGAATACAGATATTGTTTCACATATCAATAATTTATCTTCCTTTTAGAGCAATACATATTTCCCATGTATATTCTATCATTTCAATGTCTGTGACAAGTAGTCTCTACTAAATGATTTATGAATGGCTAAAGTGCTTCAAAATTTTATGACACAGATTTTCAGTTGCATATAATGTGTAGATAATGACTTCAATTTGAAAGGCATATAATTTTAGGCAAAAAAATAGGAATTTTTTTTCTAAAAAATTGACTTTATAATGAAGTTTTAAATAAGCACTGCTATAGACAAAATAGGATTTAGAATGACTTTTTTAAGTTTAGTAACATAGTACCATGATAGTTTTAAATAGAAATTTTCCTGGTTTTTAACTTTAATTATAACAACAGTTTTAAAGGTATATTTACAAAGATCAACCAAACTTGATTTGGGCAGGGAGGAAAAATATTCTCAAATAATTCATCCACGGTAAATAAGAGCTCGAAGCTTTGGGGTGCTTCCAAAGCCAGTGCCTCGCACTTACTTGCATGCCCACTGCCCTTCAGGTAGAAGATCCTCAAGACACAGGCACTTAGGATATGAGGGTGATTTCCACGACAGCTTAGAAAAGTACGTAGTCAAGAAGCACCTCACTGTAATGAAATGTTTGACGTCAGGGCAGATGTGGCAGTGCTGTAGAGTCATGAAATTAGGTTTATTCTAGGTCATTTGAAAACATCTGCTTTAAAGTGAAAAAAATCATGGAAATAAGCAACTAATCATGCATCTGTGTGTCAGGCCTGTAGAATTATTTATTTTGTGTTAAACTAAGTAGAAAAAGTTCACCAATTCTGTTTATCTATGTGCATATGTGTGTTTGGTGTGCTCAGCTGTAAGGCCATCCTAACTCCATGCTCTTACCAACGTGCTGTGTCGTTGGCATGCATTTCATAACCTCCTCGGTGCCCAGTGTGTGTGGACAGAGGGGCATGCTCCGCCTCTGTGAACTCAGCTGATTCAATTCAGTTAGAATATGTACCTGTTGAGTATACTATGCTCTTAGCACCAGGATGCGTGTTATAAAATCTATGTTTAAAAGAAGCGCGTATATGACCATCTCCGACAAGAAGCTTGAAATACTTTCGGGATTAAAATACTCAGGTATAAAGCAATCAAAACAATACATTATTAAGAAACCAAACAGAGGCCCATAAAGTGCTAAATGAGATCGGAGGAGGGAGAAGCCAGCGGTTAGCATGTCTTTTACCAGGTATTTGACTCTCCTAGAATAGATTGATTTGTGATGCATGAATCCAAACAATTGTGTTCCTTATCTTAATAATCACCTTGCCCTGGAAACATTGGGTCGTTAGAGGGTATCCCTGACCAAGTCTGAGAACCAATCCCTTTCATCGGTCAAAGAGCATTCACTTCAAATCTCCATGCAGAGCAGTGTGACGTGCTCTGACAATTTAACTCTACAATAAGAGCAAACTTGCCCTCCGGGCTTACTTTATACTGACTCCTACTGGTCCCTCTGGCATCTCTGTTGGCAGAGGGGCATGCCCACCAGTCAGCTGCTTTCTAATCACCCCCAGCGCCCTCTGGCATATAAGAGAGCGGTTTCAGAAATAAAGGAAGAGTGAGAAGACACTGAAAATATGCACCCTGTCCCTCTAGACATCAGTTTTCAGAGTGAATAGAAACTGGACAGCTGATGCCTGTCACCTGAATGGAGTCTTTCATTGTCATCTAAAGGAACGATGCTTTAACGGGATGTCTGCACTTTTCTCAGAGCCAGGTAACAGTGAATGGAAGCTCGGGAGGTGCTGTGAGTCCGATGAGCTACTACCAGCGGCCCTTCTCCCCTTCGGCCTACTCCCTGCCAGGCTCCCTCAATTCCAGCATCATCATGCCTCATGGCCGGTCACTCGGTGAGTCGCTGGATCATCATGATTTTCATGACAATTTCAAAATAGCGAGTACAGACCACATGAGGAAAATAATATAAAGCATTGGAGTACCTTTTAGAAAGGAGGCAGACACGTTCATCAGCTCACGATTAAAGACCCTGTCCTCGGGAGGCATTAGGGACCGCATGAACTCAGCCTCGGAAGAAACAGGCACCCAGCCATTCCAAGGCAGCGACTACTTCTGTACCTTCCTCTGGGGAAGGCGATTAGATATTTGGGGTGTGGGTGGGTTAGAGAGAAAAAGATGGGCCGTTAGGGAGGGGAGAGCTCACATCACCAGGAGAACATTCACAGGGTGCATTTCCATGTATGGTAAATACCATCTATGTGGAGGCACCCTGTTCTTTCGTGGGAAAACTGTCATTGTAGAACGCTCTTTTGGTGTCTGTAAAGAAGACCTGGCTCACAGTTAAAGCAGACCGACGGGCACAGGCTGCCTCACACAGTAGTACACACTGAACTACTGCCTCCCAAAGTAGTAAACTACTCAAACTGAGGCCAGAAGACCATCCGTCAGGGATGTGAGTCCCTTTAAAGCAGCGGTTCTCAACCTGTGGGTCGCGACCCCTTTGGCGGTTGAACGACCCTTTCACAGGGGTCGCCTAAGACCATCCTGCATATCAGATATTTACATTATGATTCATAACAGTAGCAACATTACAGTTATGAAGTAGCAACGAAAATAATTTTATGGTTGGGTCACAACATGAGGAACTGTATTTAAAGGGCCAGAAGATTGAGAACTACTGCTTTAAAGGATGATGCCAGGATTTCATCAAAACATAGCTCTTTTGGGAAATAAGAATTAGACGAAAGAGAGAGCTTTCCTCTAGATACAAAATGAACACTTGAACATTTATTAAAAAAAACAAAAAAACTTTCCAGCATATAATTTCACGGGGCTCATGAACTCCTTAAAAGCTTGCTGGAGAAGAAACTGCTATATAACGATGGAAACATTTTTATGTGGCAAAATATATTACAACAGCTTAGAAAACAAGGTCATACATTTTCCTAGTTTTCAGAAATGTAAAAAAATAACCGAGAACATTACATTACCAAAAAATAAAGCCAACCCAGACTAACTCAGAGCATCATATGCATTGAAGCTGAAAAAGGTTTCATGATGTTGAACCAGGCCTCCAGGGCAGCAGGAAGCGGAGAGGAAGGCAGAGGACCACGTGGTCGAAGCACAGCTCTCAGAAAAGTAGGAGGGGCCCATCCTCTGGCCACCAACCAACTACAGGGAGCAAGAAAGGAGAGCAGAGGGCTTTAACTCCCATTTCTTCCCCAATAGCAGCAGCACCCTCATTTCCCCATCACTGCTGTGTATTGAAAGATCACAATGCCATTAGTTTACCCAAGAACATTCGCCATGTGCACTGTGGACTCAGCTTCTGTGTCAACACAACCTTTGTAGCTCATATGTAGCCAGGAGACTCGTTAAAGAAAAGTCTAATGATGCTTGTGCTTTTCTAATGCTGCTCCTGGAATGATCGGTGACTCTTATAACGATGGCCTTTTAGAGTATAAGAAAGCAGAACGTCCTTGTGCCAGAATGTTGCCCTTAATTAGTCACTGGTGTAGTATTACAATAGGAGCTCATTATATCTAGATTTTTTACAGTGCTATGTATTATGACACATCTGCAGTAAAACTCTACAAATGATTCTAGCCGTAATATTTTCCCAAATAATTATTGTCAAAGTCTGACTCTTTCACCCCCATTGCTCACCTTAATGAACACAATTTTTTCACTTCACCTCAACAAAAAATATATATAAATACTTGAATGTAGACAGGGTTCTATATTAGAGCGTGCCATTGGGTAGATTTTATATATAAACTATAAACATGGAAAGAAATTCTCTATGTAAACATTGAACAAATTCCAGTTGGCCAATGCTGAGTTAGGTCCTGAGGAGAATGTACAAACCTATCCTGCCCTAGAGAAACTTGATATTTAGCTTAGGACAAAAACAGCAAAAATGAGAGTTAGTGGAGCATATAAGAGCATAATAAAATAAAAGGTTGACTTGTATTATTTAAGTTCATAGAATCTCATGGACCATAAATGAAGACAAAGTTAATACAGGCAGAAATTTTACACATACTAGGGTCTCAAAAAGTTTGTTTTTTTATAGAAATACTAGATCATGGTTGCTCAGTCAAATCCTTTTTAAAATTAAATGGGAAATCTGAGTCAAATATCACATTGTGTCTTACTTTGGAGCTGCCTGGAAAAGATTACTTTTATCTACTACTACAGTGGTACATAAAGCAGTTTTATTTCAGCCTAATTCATTCTTCATCAGAAATGGATTGAAAATGCTTTTCTGTTGCAAAAGAAATAAAAAATAGCCATAATAGTAAGAGCAGTTATAAATATTATAATGGATTTTAGTTGATCTCTTCTTATCCTTATAATGATGAGTTAAATTTTTAACTGAGTATATCATTGCTAACCTAAAACATTAGGACTTTTCCATATCCATATTAAAAAAAGACCTTTCTGAGTGACAGATCTGACCAACTGTGACAAAGAATCATTCTTGGTCACCAAAATTTTGAAATTTATTATTTAAAAAAGGGGGGGGAGTAAACAACAACAACAAAAAAGAAAAGAACACAAGAAATTGTATTATCAGTTGCACCAGATGAATGGTAATAATGTTGATTTTCACAACTATCTCTGAACTAAGAGTAAGTGGAACATATACTATACTAAGTCCCCTCCTTTCTTAAGAAAGTATAGCAAAAGTTAATAATCATGGCATGAAGATAGGGACAGGATAAATCCCATCTTATTTATATGCTTAGGGCGATTTGTATCCTCAAGGGGCCAGAAGTCATGGTTTTTGGTACTTTAAACTAAAAGCAAAGACATTATGGCCATCTTGGCTACTTAAATAAAAATTAATACTAATAAAGTCGTTTATTTACCCATAAGCCAAGTATATGTTTGGATACTTGGAAATAGCGAGCAGTTTCACAAAAAGAATAGTAATGTAAACTATGAGCTGGGACTCAACTCGCCCCAGCTTCTGCCCCCACAGGATGACTGGAAAAATGAGAAGAGGCAGTGCATGCAAAGGGCTTTGTTACGGTGGCTGCCACAGGCCACAAGGTCTCTCACCAAGGCTGTTCTTCCCCTCACCCTTCTTCATGAAATGGGAGGGTCTTGTTATAGGTGTGTTCAATATGCACCTCCCTGTTAGCAACCAGTGGTTCAAATTTAAGGTCACTGAGTTAAGAGATCGGGATGGAAATATAGACTATGCCACGTTTGGCACAACTATGCAAGAGGTACCATTAATTTATGATTCCCCGTGCCTCACACGCATTATATGTCGCCACATTCTCTCCCCAGATTCCACAGAGGCGTATGCCCAGCACGCGCAGTCTCTGGACGGCACGGTGGGCAGCTCCATCCCGCTGTACAGGTCCTCGGAGGAAGAGAAGAGGGTGACCGTCATCAAAGCCCCACACTACCCCGGGATCGGGCCGGTGGATGAGTCCGGCATCCCCACGGCCATCAGAACGGTAGGCTGGATTCGGGCGGCTCCGTGCACCCCTTGTCTGATCTGATGAGGATGGCCCGTCCTCATGCAGATCACGCTGTGTGTGGCGGAGAGAGGACTGTCCATGGGAGCTAATCACACAATCTGTTTCTCCATTTTAATGAAAAATCATGAAACTTGTGGTTTTGTCAAATGACAAGAGTCTGTTTTACCTTCTACCGAGGAGTGTTAGGGCAATAGGAGGAAAAGGGAAGGACTGAGAAATGTGACTGCTTTGCTGCGTTGAATTCCCACATGCATTGCAGACAACCCAGGGGTTTGTTCCTTGAAAGGGATGTGTGTTAACACCACCAGGAGGTGAGGAGCCGGGGGCTGAGGGTTGGGAGGTGAGATGATTGGAGTGAAGGGAGTTAATGTCATGGAAAGAAACAACCAGGAAAATACACATTTGAGAGTTTTCCCTCTTCAGCTGTGCCTGCTGGGAGCTCTCGGGGATGCTGAGTGAGTGTCTGGATTTTTTTTTAGTCTCTAAACGCTGCCAGGGCATTGCTCAGTGCGTGGGGCAGCCCCTTCTGGCAAAGCTCAGCAGTAGCAGCGGCTCTGGGAGCCGGGCAGGCAGCCGCTGGCTGAGCCAGTCCACTTGAAGACAAGGTCTGTGCTACCGGCGGGCGGACTTGGGAACCACCAGGATGAGAGCAGCAGCGCCTTTGCAGGTGATGTTGGGGGGCGATTCGAGAGCAGAGCTCAGGCTGCCTACACGTGTCCGCAACACCCACATACCTGGCTGGGATGTTGCCAAGAGCTATTTCCCTGGAATGCAAACCTGGGGGAGAGAGGATGCGAAGACAATAGAGGGTAGAGGAAAAGAAGGGGAAAGGGATCAGAAAAATGCAGTGGTCCGATCGGAAACACTGCAGCTGGACGAAAGACCACGTGTGGGGGTTTTCTCTCCTTGAATCTGTATTTATTATGTGGGGATTACGTGTTCTGTATACAGAGAGAAAAGTTAAAAATTAACTATTCCAAGCATCTGTACTAGAATTGGAAGCCAAAAAAGTAAGTCTGTACAGCAGTGGCTGTGGGTTTTATACTCGTGAGATTCTGAGAACACTGAATGTGACTAATTATAAAATCCTCAAAATCTATGTTGGAACTGGTGATTGTCATGTTTAAGGGACAGAAACAGTTCAGGGATCATGATTAACATTCTTAATCTTAGGATGACTACATGTTTCTGGTGACAATGTTTTGTTGTTGGTTTCCCTTTCAAGATTTCTGATTCAGAATGGTTACACTTAAAATGTTTTTCCTAATAATGTGGGGCTATCATGTCAGACAGGTATGCTGTCATTGGTTCTGTTTAATTGATCCCTGAGGCACAATATATACACAAATTCGGAGATCCCTGATTCTATATAGTTATAGATTCTCTCTGAAAATTTTTATCTGAGACTCTGGGTGTGTTTCTAAGTCAACAAATGATACTAGAAATGAACATGCAAAGCCTGACCTTCTGTTTTTAACCCATTAAACGTAATTTTCTTAAATAGCAAGGCCTTGCTTGTTCGTTTTTAAAAGGAAAAAAACTGAGATGATGTGGATGGTGAAAATCAAGTAATGTTAAAATTTGATATTGTTTATATATTGCTGAATCATGAGCACGTCTAGACATGCATACGTTAACACATATACCATACTAAATGCTAGTTCTCAATCCATAAAGTCGAAGATAAAATATAGTTTCTATGTACAGCTGTGCTCTTATTTGGCCATTTAGAACTTTACAAAGAAGGTGTAGGTCTATTTCCTATTTCCCAGCCTGGCCCAGCACATCCCCAAGTATAGCCGTGTTTATAAATGCCGAGTCAGGCCATCGCTGAGCCTCTGCAGGCCAAGAATCCAAGGCTGTTTTTCTTTCTCCTCCACGTAGACAGTCATGATTATCAGACTGGGTTGCTTCACATGGACTTTCTGCTGAGCGAATGTATACACCAGAGGCAGTGCCGCCTCCTGTATCGTGTTGTAGTCTCATTCTAGAAACCGGCACAGACCCAGGAAACAGAATTGTGCAAAGTAACCCAGAAACTCTAGAAAGCCAAGAGTCAACAAATGTACCTTTGAGTTACTTGAACGAAGGGAAGTGGCTCCCCCCACTGCCCTCTCTCATGTGACCCGGGCCCTCTGTGTTAGCCTTTTACCGCCATTCTTAGCAACAACAACAGAACCCACCAGGGTTCAGATCCCATGGGACTGTCTAATTACGGCCAGCTAGTTAAGTGAAATACAAGACTCCTTTCTTTTCCTTCAAATACAGCACCATTTGAGCATTTTCTCTTTTTTTAATCTTTTTTTTTTTTAACCCTCACCTGAGGATATTTTCCCACTGATTTTCAGAGAGAGTGGAAGAGAGAGGGAAAGACAGAGAGAAATATTGATGTGAGAGAAGCACGTCGGTTGGTTGCCTCCTGCACTAGCCCTGACCAGGGCCCAGACCAGGGAGGAGCCTGCAACGGAGGTACATGCCCTTGACCGAAATCAAACCTGGGACCCTTTGGTCTGCAGGCCGACACTCTAGCCACTGAACCAAACCGGCTAGGGCCATTTGAGCATTTTCAAAGTAGAAAGGAGCAAACATCGACTAGAATAACTGCATACTGGTGTGTAGAGAATGTGCATCTTTCCCCTTGTTGGGAATCCCTGCATGTTAAATCAGTTAGAGTTCTGATCATCTGTAAACTGTAGGAATGTGAAAATCCAGGTATGCTCAGCCGGGGTGACTGAAAACACTGAATAGTGGATTTCTAGTAGTTAGTGTCCATGCAAAATGATTTTGAAGGACACCTACAAAAGTAAACATCCTCACATTTGAGTAGGCCTCTGTGTACTTAGTCTCGGGATTAGCCATAACAATCTCCACGATGGCATTTATAAGACAAGGTTGAAATGCTTAGAGGACTTCTTTTAGAACGGGACACAGAGTTTTTGTGTGGCCAATTTCATATTCCCCTTTGCCAACTGGCTGGGCATGTCTGGCATCTCTGTGCTCACCATATAAAGCTAGCAGATGGCAGAACTGAGTTCCTGCCCGATACGTGCCCTCCAGCCAGGCAGGAAAAGTCCTGTCTGTCAGGATCCATTGCCATATACAGGGCTATGACTTATTTATTAGGCGTCCTTGTTGCCATCGGTCGTGTCCAGGTGTGACTGGAAAACATTTCTGCACAAGCTTATGTCTTCTTTTCTGTTGCTGAATACTGTAAAGGAAATGAAGCTTAATGAAAGAGAAATCGATCTTTTATGAAAATAAATGTCCCTTAAAGACACTTGATCAGTTACTTCGTTTAAACCAGCAAATAATAGCTGGACTTCATCACTGCACCCCATCCCACCAGCTACCACCATTTGAACATCAAGTCCATCAACAAGCCCCTCAATTTTTCCATTCTGAAAAGAGCGTAAAATGAATGAAGAGGTGATTCACCACAAAGTCAAGTAGCCCTTAAAGTTCATCTATACTTGAGTGTTTACAGACTCATATATTCCTAGACACCAAAATAAAACTGGATATAGCACAAAACTCAATTTCCAGATGAAAAAATGCAGTGACCACATTTCTGAAAGAAAAATGAGGGTATCAAATTGAAACCAAAGCTGAGTCTAACCAGTATAAGGATATTTTTGTGGCAGTCCTAACGGAGTATTTTATATCAAGGGAATTGTCTCGGAAAGTCTGGTATATTTAGTCACTGTACACACAATGGTTGAGCCTCTTGCCCTAGTAGCTCTGGAAAAAGTTAAGATAAAGATCTTGACAAGAAAAATCTTTAATTAGGATTATAAAAGTGTCTGTCTACTTTCACAGGTACACAATATGGTCAAGTTCCATGCAACAATCTGGATTCATTCATTATTTTATTCTATAAAGATTTAATGTTCCCTATGGTTTTTTATTGAGCATTGTAGGCATTGTTCTAGATCTTTTTGTGTACATTGTCTCATTGAATTTCCATAACAATCCTATGATGTGGATATAATTTTTTCATTTTAAAAAGAAGAAAACGAGGCTCTCAAAGGTTACCTAACTTATCCAAATTCATATTGGTAGGAAACAGCAATTAAAGGATCTGAGATAGGAATCTAGGTTGATCTGACATTAATTGTCTTCTCACTTCTATCACATCAAAAGCCTGGGCTGCAGACAGGGGCACTTCTGTGCTCAAGGAATTTGCCATTTAGCAAAGCAAATGTTGTAAATGTTTTATTATCAGGTTAACAACATTTTTGAAACAACATCTCCATTTTTAGACTTGCTCTCAGACTCTGGATTGTGTCCCTACACTTGGTACTTTAGTAACTTAGAGTAGAAAATATTCAATTTTTCTTTCTCTGAGCCTAAGTTGACCAGAATACAGTTGGAGTCAAAAATATTCCTTTGTTAATTCTAAAAATAATGTCTTAAACAGAACACTCACTAAAAAGTTTTTTAAGGATAATGATAATTATCTCCAAAAGGAGTGAAGAACACTGTGATAACCCTATACCTCTTATTCAGTGACTTTTATATAAATACTAGAGACCCGATGCACAAAAATCATGCAAGAGTAGGCCTTCCTTCACCCGGCTGCCAGCACCGGCTTTACTCGCAGCCCTGGCTTCAGTCTAATTAGCATATTACACTTTTATTATTATAGATGTTTGTGTAAACATTAACTGTCGAGTGCTGGGCAAAACTCTGATGAGGATAAAATAAAACCATAGCACGTATAATGCTCCAATTCAGCCTAAACTCAAGCAAGGGGTAATGTATTTACACACTGCATACAGAACTGGATAAATGACTGGTATTGTCATCATGAGATAGATTTTTATCAACCAGAGAACATAAATTTGCTATTAAAAAAGATAAAATATAGAAAGAAAAATATGAAGAAACAACATCGATCTGGAAGCAGCTTTGTAACTGTTGGACATTCTCTTTTATAGACAGTTGACAGACCGAAGGACTGGTACAAGACGATGTTCAAGCAAATTCACATGGTGCACAAGCCAGGTATGCATGTTGCTCTCTGTTCCCATCGGGTCCCTGTGGGTTGAAGGATGTATATGGATCCTCCCCGTTTACACAGTTGGTTCACCCCAAATGTCAAGACCCTAACAAGCTTCCTGGCCTCCATTGTTTCTTGTGAACATTCCTCCTTATATCACCCCTTCAAATCCCAGACTCTGTGCTCCTGCCTCACCCCTGATCTGCCAAGAAGCCTCTTAGATGGTGACCTTGAGGAGGTGCCAGCTGCTCTGGTCTCTTCCCTTCGTCCTTCCTTGTCCACAATCTGAACCCCAGTGTGGCCTGTTGTTCACTTAGACAGACTCATTATTCCTCTGTCCACGTGTCTGCTCCCTATCCAGAGAGTGAGCATAGGTAGGTCTCGCTGAGTTGACAGAGATATTTAAAGCACTTTCTAAAGGAAAGTCAGGCCTCAGAAGAGAAGGCTGGGAAGTGAGGCAAAGGTACTGACCTTGGATGGCCGAAGAGCAAATACGTTACAGACTGTCCCAAAAACAGTATTTGAAAAAAATATATTTTTATGGTATTTTGAGCTAGGCAAAGTACATTGGTTTTCTAACAAATGTCTGCTGTTTCTGTGAAGTTCTGCTGTCTTGTTGTGATGCGGTGACGCAATCTGCATTACCATCATATGTATGTTTCGTTTTCTAGATGATGACACAGACATGTACAATACTCCTTATACATATAACGCAGGTAGGACGGCGTTCCTTGCGTGCAATGAGTATTTTTCCAATGCTTGGAAGAACTTTAGCCTCACTTCTACCGCTGTGGGCACATGTTTTCAGTCTACACAATGAGGAGGCTGCTTTCCCCCCCTTTTTGTCTCATAGCATGCCTAACAAAAGGATTGATCTCTTCTCTCGGATATGAGAACTAACACTGTTGTACAGCCTTCATTCCCGTGTTAGTTGATTCTCAGCTTCAGGAATGTTTAACTCAACTGTGAAGGCCAGCCTGAAAGAACACACTGTAAGGGTACAAAATAAGATAAAGATCTCCTTTTATCAGAGGAGAGAGGGAGCGCCATTGCGTAAGATCTTTCAGATACACTTCACAGCAAACAAGTCAGGCACAGTGTTCTGTGACCTTGCCCATGCTTTTGCTCCAAAATGCACCCATTCATGGAAGGGTTGTTTAAAATCCCACTTTGCCTGCCACTCTTCTGACTCAGAGTTGCCCAGGTCATAAAGAGCCACTTCAATTCCGGGCATTTCTGCTTGTACTTGAGTGTGTTGGTATCTTGTGAAGTGGTTGCAGGCTAAAGTGAGGGAACCTCTAGAAAATGTTTCCTGTCATGGCTTTCTCAATGGCACATCAGGGAATCCCACACGGGGCCTCCTGTCCCTGCTCAGCCTCGGGCTCCAGACCCCTGACCGTGGTCTGTTCTTTCTTTAGAGCAGGCTCAGTGGATGGCTCTGCCCTCCCCTTACTAGTACACACCAGCAGCCCCACAAGGGGCGCCCTTGCCGGCCTGGCTCAGAGCTGCAAAGGTTCCCCACTCCTGGACACCTAAGGGCCAATGCACAGGCCCTTGAACCCTTAGGGATTTTTCTACTAGTCTCCAAAGACAAATAGAGAAGTAACAAAACAAAAATCAAACAAACAAGAGAACAGAACAAGCATAGAGGTGACAGGCCCTTGGTTTTCTGCTCCCGATATTCCACCTTTCACATGGGGCCCACTAGATGTTGCCTCAATTTTTACTCCTGGCCACAGGTACTCCGAACTCACCTCCTGTGCTTAGCTTGTTAAAAAATCAAAATTCAACTGAGTGCATTTTAAAGATCTAATTGGCTTTGGTCAATGATTCACGAGTTGGGCAGCCTCCCTTCTAGCAGACAGACAGGAGCTCCGAGGAGCTGCACAACATGAAAGACTTGACAGGCAAAAGGGAGCAGGACAAGGAAGGTAGAGCAGGCGAGAAAGTGGATGGTCACTGAGGTCACCTTCCCTTAGGGGAGGGCTGGGGCCTATCAGGCCGATGGCCTAACTAGTGCTGACCAGGTGACTCCTGCTGGTTTAAGGTTTTATTTCTGAGAGAGGCCTACACTGGAATTAAGTTGAGTCCAGTTTGTGACGTGGGATCTTTGCATAAGCAACTCCACTGGGGGCCTGTTGTCCTGTTTTTAACAAGCTCTGAAGCTGAACTCAGACAGTAGAATTGAGGCCAAAAAAAAAGTGCGGACATCATCTCTTTGTATTTGTCGTGGCAATTTGCATGGAACTTCCGGAGAAGAAAAGTGAAAATAGGCTTAGCTCAAAAGACTGAGGTTGCAGGAAATTCAGAATGTTTTGCATCCATTAGTGATCAGTCAATCAAACAATAGTCACATATAACCTTGCGGAGCTCTTTGGAGAGAGTTTTACCATTTAATCAGTAGACAACGCAACTGCAACTAGTCTCTTCCCTTCTACTAACCCTCCATCCCGCTGTCACGGGTCTGGCTCTTTCTGCCTCGTTTGGTTTCTATGTCATCTCTGCTACCTTCTTCACCTACCCTCCAAACCAGCCCTTCAGGGCCCACTCTGGTGCCTTCGGTTCCATGATATCTTCTCAGACCAATCCACCATCTTCTAAAATCCTTTCATGACTAATGTATATTTTCCGCTTTGGGCCTTTACCATGTTCCCAATTATTTTCCAGCAGAGTTCTATCTGTGTCTCTTTTCCCAGATGTGCTACAGGCTTACTAAGGGCTTCTGTTTCCTTAAGCCTTACACGGCACATACATAACTTGCTCCGTATTGTGTTTAATTACAATTAACATGTCAATTATCATATATGAATCAGAGCCTTTAAAGTAATAGAAGACATTTGGAAACAGTTCTGTGAAGCATTTTTAATCTTCCTCTGAAATCTTAACTATGTCATTAGTTTATGTTCTCCAGGAGAAAATTTGCTGAGTACCTGTAAGTTATTCCTAGTACTAATCTGAATGATTACTGATTCTAAAATGATTGACAGAGATTTACTGTCACCAATGCTTGTGTACAGAATACAGTAATAACAAATTAATCTCTTCATAAAGATTAATACATTAATTACTAATGATCATCCTGCCCAATGCATGCAGTATGGATATGCTTATTCATGATAATGTGGGCAAAATCATTGGATATTTTATGGGGTACAAAGAATTTAATGCACTTTTTAAATGTCATTTGCCCCTGTTTTGTTTTGTTCTGTTGTGTTTCATGCCAGGCCTGTACAACTCACCCTACAGTGCTCAGTCCCATCCTGCTGCGAAGACCCAGACCTACAGACCCCTCTCCAAAAGCCACTCGGACAACGGCACGGACACTTTTAAGGAGGCCACTCCCCCAGCCCCTCCCCCCCATGTTCCTCCTCCAGTCCCACCACTTCGACCCAGAGATCGGTCTTCAACAGAGAAGTAAGGCATTTCCCCCCAAAGTGGCCTACATTTATTTAGCTTAGTATAAAAATAAGGCCGCATGGCATTCAGTAAAAGAATTGGTGGAGATAGTATATGTATAATCTTCAGTCAATACAGGCAGTCCTCGGGTTACATCAGACTCCATGTACGTCATTTCATGGTTACGTTGCCATCTCCCATGTATTTATAAAAAAAAAAAAAAGTTCTGTCATTTCGACGTATGTACATATGTGCTTTATGTTTTTTATTATTTATTTACCACAAGTAAAGGTCAGGAATTGTTATCTTTCTTTCAAATTTTTTTTACTGTTTCACTTCATTACTGCTGTGTATGTGCTCCATGTGAGTGACGTAGGTGCTTATGTAGGTGGGTTCCGACTTACGGCGAAAATCATGTTAAGTGGCACCATAGGAACAGATCTCTGATGTAACCCGAGGACCTACTGTACATGTACCTCATTGACCCCCTCTATTGAGATTATAGTGAACTCCTTTGCAAGTTTGGTTCATAGTATTATAGTGACCTAAGTTAGACCCGGCATAACCTGGGCACAAGATCTACTTTTTTATTTTTTTAAATGCATAGAAGAAGACAAATAAAAAGAAATCATTGACGTAGTCTTTTTGGCATAGCACCCCAGAGACTACGCAGTTCATTTTCAGTTTCCTCAGATTTGAAATGTTAGGTCTATTAATTATTTAAATTCCCCTCTGATACACAAAAATATATCTTTGAAAGCAGGAAGATTATTCATGAATCATAAATAAGTCATTAGTTAATAAGTGCCTACCGGTGACTCATTTCACCAGTTTTTCAAGATGATACCAATTTTCATTTCCCCACAGATATGTTTTGATAGAAACTATCATCACAAAAATAAAAACTTATAAGCAAACTTTTATGGCATCACTTAAGAATTAAGATTATGACTAATAATCCAATTATAAGTGACCTTTATTGAGAGTATGCTATGATTCCAGCACTAGGCAAAGTACTTTTCCTCTATTATATCATTTAATTCTGAGAACCCAATGAGATAAGGTTTATTTTAAACCCATTTTAGAGAGAAAAACACTGTGATTTAGAAAATTGAAACAACTTGCTCAACTCATACAGCAGAGTTCAAACTCACCTCTGACTGAAATCATGGCTCATGTTATACCAGCAGTTAATAAATAAGGATATAATAATTATTCAGTATTAATACCGATTATTAAGCATTCACCTACCATACCCATTTCAAAACTATTATATTCAACACCGCATGGTATCATTAAGAGTAACTGATGATTGTATAGGGTATAAGATACCACGAAAATAGACACACTTCATATGTGAGAAGATTCCCATTTTACCAGTCTTCTCATGATGGATTTTATGTTTAGAAAGGTGATGTTTTAAATTTGATAAATAACTGTCTAGACATAAATGGTATCTCTGCCATAACCCAGAACCAAAATTAACTCAGAATTAAATGTATTATTTGTTCTATGTGTTTAGTAAAAATAAATCTCTCACTAAGAAATATGCAAATCTCTTAAAAATTTCAAAAACACCTGTGCTGGATATTATTCCCCAATGTACCAGAACGCCAGCACCTGCCCCTAATTCTCCTGTCCCTTAAGGCGTTTCTGTTTCCAGCATGCCATGGAGTCAGAATTCCATCCATTCCAGGGGTCAGCATTACCTCACCTAAAGCCAGGAAATTCCTCTTCCCCTGGAAGCCTTCTTCAGCACCAGCTACCTAAAAAGCTTTATTTTTGAAGTCCCTCTGTGGCTGCCCCTCAAAGGACATTAGTTCAGGAAAAGGCTGGTTCCGGGGCCTCCCAGTGGATGGGATGGATGCCTGACTCTGGCTTTTCAAGGGTAACACAAGGGAGGATCCCAGCCCACAGCTGGCTCCTGTGGATGGCAACCCAAGTGGTCCTTTGGTACTTTCCACAAACCATGATGCCCTTTGAACAAGATCCAACATGGCATGTCCATTACTCCTTGTCACTTTGAGTCAAGGATGCCAGGTCAGAGTGGCGGGAAAACTCACATCGCGTAATGGAGCCTAAGCACCACTTATTCCCAACACAGACGTGCACAGCTGCCATTGCGTCCGCCCTAAGGGTTCACAGCAGCTCCCTGGCCATGTGTCTCCTCATCCTTTGTGTGAGTGTGTGAGCCAGCAGGAGGGTCATATCAATGTATGAAAGAAAAAAAGAAAAAACAGAGGAAAACATAATACAAAATAAAAGAAATGACTTTCTCTAAGTCATTTATGTAAAACAAAACATAAATGTGGTATTTGGGACAGATTAGTTTTGATCCTATGAGACTTTTTTTAAAAACCTACACGAAAATTAACTTTGAAAACAGCGAGTGGATAGATACGACTGCTTTGAGCCTAGGGAATTATTTTCACGTGTAACTTGTTGGTTCTTTCCAGGCATGACTGGGACCCTCCAGACAGAAAGGTGGACACGAGAAGGTTTCGTTCTGAGCCCAGGAGCATTTTTGAATATGAACCAGGGAAGTCGTCGATCCTGCAGCATGAACGACCAGTAAGCACTTGTCCCGAAACACGGTGCCAGTTCTCTAGGCTCCCTGGGCTCTTAAGTAAACCCACATTTCATATCATTTAGCAATTTTTGTCGCAAAGGGGATTAACTTGGCATTATTTAGAAATCACGTTTATTCTGAATCATGTTTTGTGCATCTCGTCTCGGAATTGAAGATGCAGTTTCTAATATGTATCTTTCCTACCAATCAAATATAGGATGTAACTGTATTTGCATGTAACTATAGCCATGTCTAATCATAGCTCTGAGTTTAATTGGAAAAAATAAAAGAACACTCATAAATGCAACACTTAATCGCTAGTCTACATCGCTAATGAGGAAAATCATTCATTAATCTCTGTGATACAAATGCACCCAGTCAGTACGTCCCTTCGTTTCTACATAGATTTGTTATTATTTCTCGGGCTTCGGGGGACATTTTCCGAATGTCTTTTTATAACAAGTTGGTCTTAATGGATTCTTATTAAATCTCTCTCAGGTTACCGGTCCTCGAGCTTCCTGGTTGTCCATCTAATGGCTCAAGATTAAACTTTGCAGTATTTTACGATTATTTACTTAAATCCTATGCAAACAAAAAGCTATAGGAGGTGGAAAGTAACCATTTGCTTCTCCAAAGTGCAATTAACAAACAGGCTCTTTCTTGCTTGGCCCTCCTGGTGTTTAGGTCCCCGTCTTCCTTTCTGGCCTGTTTTCCCTCCTTGGTCGGTGCCCTCGGGATCTCTGGAACTGTCATTCCTCCGCATCTCTGTCCCAGTCTGCTTCGAGGGAAACAGTTGATGTCATTTGCAACTTACTCTCTGCCTTGTCTTGTCTTGTCTTAAAAGAATTTAGGTGTCAGTGAACAGGAGAGAGTTTTCTTTGGTAGCTCCTTTAAGAGTATCCAAGAAACTACATTATCGTATTGAATGCAAGGCCAGCTCTGAAATTTGATTGGAAACCCTGGCCTCACCACACCCAAGTTGAATGTCCTTGATTTCGTTTTTGAAGCCCTGTATTTATGGTTATGTTCTTGAGAAACATGTCCAAGAACCTCATAATCACATAATTCATATGTGATGTTTATCTAAGCCCTTTTATGTCGTTCTACAAATAACTCATATCTTTCAAAGTAACAGAATTTTAACAGAAAAACTGAAAAAAGGGAGCATGCCTGAGTTGCAAGCTCCACTGCAAATTTATACCCCACTTACTAGGTTATGTGATTGAATTTTGTCATTTCTAGGATGAGAATTGAGTGAATCATGAGGTCACCATTGCATAAAATTGAAAATAGCAAAATAATGTCTCAGATTTAAGTGTCAATACCAAAACTTTAATGATCATTCTAACAATTTATGATACTCTTAGGATGATGCGTGTTGTAACTGTATTGAAATGTTTTGATGGCTGTAGCGTCAGGGAAAATGATATTTCTATTATTGACTCACTGAACAAAATTACTGAGCACCAACTACGTGCCAGACATTGTATGAGGTGCTGGGGACACAATAGTGAACAATAGAGGAACCTTGAGGCTTTCATTTAATGGAGGTGCAGGGTAGACTTGCATTTGTGTGAAATAGACCACCTGCTAGCCGGTTAAAACAGGCACACCTAAGGAATCCTCCCCCTGCCCCCTTAGCAGCTCATTCATGGGCCCTGCCACTGTGACTGAAATGCCCACGTTACTCGTATCTTTGGGCTCAATAACAACAACAGTAACATCAAAAACCATAGCAATAGTTGTAGATCCTTAATGAGCACTTACTATGTGCCAGGCCCTGTAATTAGTAACTTAGGCCTTATCTCATGTAATGATCCGAACAACCTATGAAGTAGGCACATGGCAGATGAAGGACTGAAGCACACAGTCAGTAACTCTGTCCGGGTCAGACTGCTGGAGGGTATTCGGACCACGCGTGAGCCCAGACTCACACATGCCTGGCGCACCCTATCACCACTGCACGGAGGCACCAGCATGATTAGCTGAGTAGGAAACATATTCAGCTAGTAGTCATTAGCATCTCAATGGATTTGATTATTCAATTCTTTTGCAGTCTAGCATACTTTATTTGCCAACTTCTAATAAATTAGTGCACTTGATTGATTTAACCAGGAACCTGGGCCCTGAGTTAAGACGCAAGACCCGTGTGTTTTTTAACTGTCTCTAGGATCAAAAAGATCTGGCCTCCCCGAGTCAGAAAAGAAAAGGGGGCGGGGGCTAAGTTCCTGGTGGTGGTGCAGACACTGGCTGTATGTTGATACCGTTTGCATGGGCGCTGGAGTGTCTTGAGCACACAGGTGTGGAGGATGAGCAGCAGGTTTGCTAGGTAAGGGTGATGTCTTAGCAAATGGGCGACACCGAAGGATTTCCAGAAGTTCTGAATGCATTCGCAGGTCACTTTACTCCAAGGTGGCGTGTGAGCAGAGCGTTGGCTCTTTTAATATTTAACTTTATGTAAATTACAAATAGCTAGGTAATTCTCCGCTGCCCTTTTCAATTCTGAGATGACTCCATCATCTGCCCAGTTTTCCCAAATGTCATCTTGGATTCCCCTCTCCCCCAGGGATCCCAAAGTCCTACCCCCAAGGAGAACTGTCACTGCCCCTCCGCCTGCTCCTCCACCGCCCGTGCCAGGATTGCAGTGACAGCCACCTGATTCGTTCCCTAATTCTCCAGTCTTTACAAAATCTCCTGCTCAAAACTCTCTCTGGCTCTCAAGTAACTTTAGAGCAAAATCCAAATTCCTTCTATAATTTCCAAAAAACCTGATGCATTGGCCCCACTAATCTCTCCAGCCTCATCCCTCTTCCTGCCCTTCCTGCCTCACTCACTCTGTTCCAGCTCTACCAATTCCTTTCCTACCAGACCTTTGCACAGGCTGTTCCCTCCGCCAGGAAAGCTCTATCCACCACCTGCTCTTCACATGGAAAAGCTTCATCTCACTTCCCCAGGGCACCATCCCGGACTCCTCAACTGTAGGTGCAAAGCGCCCCCTGCTGTGAGCCTGGGGCGTTTCCCCCCTCACTCACCGCACTGAATTGTAATGGTCTCTGGTCTGTGTCCCTCACTAGACTTTAAGCTCCTTGAAGGCAGGGACCATGTCTGGTGCACCCGTTGTATCCCCAGCACTTAGCACGATGCCTGGCACAGAGTAGGTGTTAAGTGAATACTGGTTGAATTAAAAAGTGAATGAATGAATATAGGTTTTGCCCTTGCTGTGAGTGGGTAAGTTGGTGAGACTGAATCCTTGTTCTGTTGCTTATCTGCGCAGTCTGCAGATCTGGTGACAAAAAGGCACAGTGTGTTTCCATCAAAACTCACATGAGAGGTTCGATGCGCTGCTATTAGTCATTGTGGTCCACTAATTTCACAGATCCCTGGTGCAGGGCATAGAAGGGCAGGACTGTATAAATGAAAGTCCTTCCCCAGACTCTGGCCTAAAGGAACCCCTTCTTCCTTAGAAATACATAGAATATGCATTTATGTTCTTCAACACGAAAGTTAAAGTGAATGCAATTTTTTAAAGTGCATAGATGTTTATCTGACTATAAGTTTAAAAATGTTGATTAAAATGGGCCAATGTTTGATCTCGAAAAGTACTTTCCAATCACCAGGAATCTAACTTTAACTGACTTGAACCACAATTTACTCCATAAGACAGTCATACAAATTCTTTACTGGGATTATAGCAATAGAAACTTTACATCCCATCTGGATTGGATTGTGTATAGGTGAGCCCAGGAAAGGAAAGTAAATTTAAATATAACACTGACTTAGGACCTCTCTATGCTTGATAAAAATGGAAATAATATGAAGACCTTACCTTTCAATGCCAAAACTAACCCAGCACATAACGATAAAAGCAGAAGGAATAATCATTAAAAACACTGTGTAGAGTTGAAATGCAATTAAATCTCAGTGAACTTAAGCTTCTTTATCAATGAAGATTTTCATTCAAAACTTAAACTCTAAAAATTTTGGGGGTTTCATCTGCTGGTTTAAACCATAAATAATTACCCCAAGTCACAACATGTATGGCATTTATTGTGGAACCACAACAAATACAGAACATAGTCGCTAATGCCATTAAAGCTTGAAAATCTAATGAGCATAAAATTTAAAGAACCAAATTTCTATGCTGACACTTCTTCTGGTTTGAACAATATGTAAAAACTATATGTCTGCCATGAGAATACTGAAAACAGTGGAATTTCTGAAACCTGAAAAGCAACTAAACGCTTTTAAACTGTAGAAAACATAAAAACTTTACAGTTGCTCACTCTTGGTTGCTTTGCAATAAGAACCATGTGTGACTTGTAGGTTTAGATTTTCATAAACACTTCCTTCTGCACTGATTGACTTTGGTTTTAAGAACCAGTTGGCTAGATGTTCTGGAAAAGTCAGAAATAAGTTTAGAAAGATATGCAGCAACAGTTCTGCTCTTGTCTTTTATGAGCAAATAGAGCTTCCTCTATGAGTATCTGAGTGTTCATATTCACGTCCAACCACTCACAGGAACTTTCAAGTTACAAATGAAAAGTGTTGATTGAGAGAGATTAGGAGTGTGCATGTCTGTTGGCTGACTGTCCGTATGTCTATCGCTACTGTCGTCAGGCCTCTGTGTACCTTAGCAGTGGGTCTAGGTTGCCACCTAACACTGTTAACTGTCACATGACTAATGGGATTCAGTAGATCAGCCACAGCAAAGAGAACATTCCAGTTCTGCCGCTTACAGCTTCTTTAGCATAAAGGCTCTGCTCAGGCGCGTGCCTCTCACCACATTCCAACGTGATAGATAATGACCAATTGTCGCTGTTTAGGGTGTCTCCTCTATATTCTATTGGCATGGATTCCAGATAGCTGCCCACTGTGACTATACACTGAATTTTTAATCTATAAAATCATGATTCAGAGAAAATTGCCATTCTAAGGTAGGGTGCAGGACAACAGACATTCTGTTCCCCTTTCCATAGTGTAGAAGAGAAATATGTTTCTGTAAATCAGGATTTTGTATATCCGTCTTTCTATGTTCCTTAAGGTGGAAGTCAAAGTGAAGTTGTAACCACGAGTAAATACATGTGCTTGTTTAGTGAATGTGCTGCCCTCTGCTGTTCAATATGTGTGTTGTTTTTTAATTTGTTTCCTCTAAGAAAAATTTATCTCACCTTAGAAAAACAAAGACTGTACTCGAAAGCCGAGATTATAAAATCAAGAATTCACCATTTTTTTTAGGTACATAACATTAGAAACAATGAGATTTGAAAAAAGCCAAAGATTCGTTTTTCTGTGGAGAAATTATTAGGCCTCTCTCTATAAACAAAACAAAATTTGCTGAAAAATTCTCTCTAATATTGTTTTCCCTAAAGATCAGCTCCAGCGAACTATTCCATGAAGTAGTTATATGCTTCAGTTATTATTTAAATGTGTGTGTTTTCTTACGGAGCCCCGCCAGCCACAGGCCTTGTGACTATTGTACAAACATACGGTCCTATTCTGCTTGTATCACTTAGCAGCCCACGCAAACCGTTCCCCAGGTTACTACACGGCTTTTACCATGATGATCACTGCACAGGTCAGATAACTCAGACCCTGTCGCTATTTTGCTGTGATGTCCCAACTTTTCTATTTCTGTCTGTAGCTACCATGAGAACCTCATATTATAAAATATTGAAATAAAAAGCACATGTCTAAAATTCTTTTGGATATAATAGATTAATAAATACAGGCTATATATTATTTTAAAACTATTGGGGAAAAAACAATAAAACACTCTGAGAAGCTAATTTCAAAATAATGGCTTTTGTTTGAATACGGACTATCTCAAAGCATCCAGTAGGACAAAGAATATGCCCTCCCCTGATCGGGGGAATGGCTTTCAGGGACCCAAAGGGGTCTTCTTCTGACTTACAATTTTACTACCCAATTGCACCATGTTTAATTAGTGCCATGTAATAATTATAGAAGTACTAACCCATATACCTTAAGCACCCATTTTTAATAGAAAATCAAGAGCCCAAAACAGTGTGGTCAGGCATGAGTTGCTTGAAAGCACTAGGATATCACTGGGTAATGTAAATGCTCTGAGGCTGAGTTTGCTCTTATTAAAGTAATTTATGTATTTTTTCCAACAGTTTACATTAACGCTCCTTGTTTTTCTCTCTTAAATACAATAACCACTAAGGGGAGCAAGTCAATTATAAATTGGTTTTTTCTCTAAATTACAGTGTCAACCAAACCAGGGTCAACTTTTCTTCCTCACCCTCTGCCCAGCCCTAAACCACCAAGGTGCTGTGGGGAAAAAATAAAAAAATAAAAACTAACCCACCCAAATCCACTTCCGTAGCTCAAGGTCTGCAGGAAGAAAGTGATACTTGGGGTATCTAATAAAACGTGATCTTTCTTTATTTATTTAAAAAAAAATATGTTCTTATTGATTTCAGAGATGAAGGGAGAGGGAGAGAGAGAGAAACATCGATGATGAGAGAGAATCATTGATCGGCTGCCTCCTGCATGCCCCCGACTGGGGATGGAGCTCGCAACCCGGGCATGTGCCCTGACCGGGAATCAAACCGTGACCTCCTGGTTCATGGGTTGACGCTCAACCACTGAGCCACCCCGGCCAGGCAATATGTGCTCTTTCCTCCCTCTCTGAGAGGCTCCCTGCCTCCACATCTTTCCAGTGGTTCAGACCATCCCCAGTTGTTCCGCCTTCTCTTGCCTAAGGCAGGGCCCAAGTCGCTGCTGCTGGTGTCCCCTCCATTCCCTCGGCACCTCCACCTACTGAACCAGTTTCTCCTCACCCTTTCTTGCAGCCCCCTCTCCCAACAACTCCGATACCTGTTCCCCGGGAACCCGGCCGGAAGCCCATTCCTATGTCACCATATGGAGAAGTCACTGGTAGCCCCTCCCCTCCACCCAGGAGCGGGCTCCCCACACCAAGCCCGAGCACCCCGGCTCTCTCTCCCATCTGGGTGAGCTCCCTCCTGCCTTCACTTTCCTAACGCCTGTCTGGACATGTAGGTGTAGTCCTTGCGCTCCAGGGGCTAGGAGACAGTCAGAGGCCGGCTTCTAACCTCCCCCTCCTCTTCCCCCTCCACCTGGCTGCCCCTCTTCCTCCTCACCCAGCCCCAGTCTTCCTGCCAGTGAACCCCTAACCACCTCCAGCACCTCTCACTCCTCCCCACCTGGATCTCTCCCCACCTCCCCTCCCGCTTCCCGGGCTCCCGCCTCCTGCACCCGAGTGGACTGTCTGCACTGCAGACTGAATGCTGGACCAGCCAGGGCAGATGCGCTGACCCCTCAGAGGAGCTGCCTGGTGACAGCTGAGCCTGGTCTAAAGCTCTGCTGAGCTGTCAACGTGCCTTCTCGCTGTCACCGGCAGTTTCTCACCGTCGATGCCTCAGGCTAAGGAGGGAAAGCAGAGGGTGGACAGAGGAGACTGCCAGGGCTCCCATGATGCCCTCGAAGCTCATCTCCATTCCTGATTTACTCCTTCTACTCCACTCCCCTGTCCTCTGTGGCGGAGATGCGTGGGATGAGAGCAGGTGCACGTTGGCGTGTGAATGCGCGCGCGGGTCATGCCACACAGCCTCCTCCTCACCTGCTCAGTGTGCCTTTTCCTTCCCTTTTCCTTCACGTCTGCTCTAGACTGACCGCATACATCCCGATGACGTAGAGTTAGAGAATGAGCCCTGGTATAAGTTCTTTTCAGAGCTGGAGTTTGGACGGCCGGTAAGTGAGGCTAGACTCTTCATGTAAGAACACCAGGGGAATGTGGCCTGACTTACACAACATATTGTCAGAAGCGATAGGCGTCATTCAGAGAACAAACGTTGAGTGTGTACTTAGAGGCACAAACCTGGTCCCGCTCAGCCCACAGTCACTTCTGGACTAAATGGTTAAACGTGCTCGGACACGTGCTAGGCAGTGTTTCTTTACCACCGAGTCACCTGGGAGGCGCACTTGATGTCTGAGCAAATTCAAACTGCTCAGAGACGGTGTCCTAGTGCAGCCAGACAATTACGGGTCTACAGAAGCTGTGCATTTGTTTACAGTCCACTTTGGTCTAGTTCACTCAGAAGAATACGGTGGCTTGATGATAACAATCCTATCCAATAAAAGAGTAACATGCAAATTAACCATCACTCCAACACAAAGATGGCGGTGCCCAGTCCTCTCAGCCCCACTGGAGTCCTCCAGTCCCCGGGGGGCAGCAGCTGAGAGCAAGGCCTGCTTGGCCATCACCGCACTTGACCTGGGAGCAGCCAAGTGGGCCCCACAGACCGCGCACAGCGGGGCCCGCGTGGCCGTCACCCACAGCAACCCAGGAGCGGCCAAGTGGGCCCCGCAGACAGCAGAGAACCCCGGGGAGTGGGCCTAAGCCGTCAGTAGGACATCCCCTGAGGGATCCCAGATTGGAGAGGGTGCAGGTCGGGCTGAGGGAATTTGGTGCACTAGGCCTCTAGTATTATTATAGCCCCCATTGCTGAAGAATCACCAAGTACCTGGCAAGGCTGGGTCTGCAGGCATTTTCCCAGGGAGCCCTCACAAGGCCCCTCCAAGAAAAAGAAACCAGAGACCAGAGGGCTAAGTAATTTGCCCAACATAGTAAGTGGCGGAGTCAGATGTCAAGCCCAGTCCTATCAACCAAACCAACAACAACAAAAACACCTCTGGGCAGTTCCCACTGTAACCTCCTGCCAGAATATCCCCACTATGAAACACCTCTACTCCCAGGGACTTAGGAAAGGGGAAAATAAGGAATGATTTCCAGTCTTGCTACTGAAAGCCACCACCACACCCCTACTCCCCAAACCCCCACCAAAGGGAACCTTCCGGAAATCAGTCTGTGTGGTACAGAGTCAACAGGCCTCAAAGAGCAATTTCCTTCATCAACCCAAGTTTTACTGGGGAACTCTACCTACCAACAGCAGTGCATTTGAGGCGTGTCAGTTACATATTGTTGATGCTTTTACTGGTGTTTCTGGATTTTAAACTCTCAAAGAAAATACTGTTTATTACACTGCATAGAATTTCACTAAAGACCAGGGAGTACAGTCTTTCTTTTGCCATATCATAGACTGATTTATACACTCAGGTACTAAATCACATTTTCCCTCCTGGGTGGACATAGTAATCCCTTTCGCCCTTTAAAATGCAAAGGAGACTGGGTTTGAACTGGACCAAAAGTGACTGTAAATAAATATAAACCAAAGAATTTCCCCTAGATTGTCTATGCCTCATAAGGAAGAATATTTTCTCCATTTTTTTTTCTAATTTGTATCCGAGTAATCACATAAATGTATTTTATTTCAGAGACAACAAATTCTCTAGCTTTACGGTATATGTGTTCTTATTGTTGATCGGACAGTTTATAGGGACTGTCCCAATTTCTGTTCTGAGCCTAGGTTAGCAGCATTTTTCTATCGTCTTTTCCAGCCACCCCTGGAAACTCACCAGCACGCTCTCCACATGTCCACTTGCTCCCTTAATGTTCCTTTAATCGACCTTGCATTCCTCTGTGGCCCGAGACTAGGGGTGCTAATTGGGCCTGATGAACCGAGTTCATAAATATACTAATCACACCACCAGTAACGCTGCCCGGTGCTTGAGATTAGTGACGAGCATAGTCCCCTTCCTCCCAGGCCACCCCCCTGGTGCTCCATGCGTGTCCCTCTGTGCGTGTACCTGATGCTGTCGTCACTCGATTTCTAACTGTTGTCACCTTTTCCACATGTCCATTCCTTGCTGCCATTGACTGTCCTCCATTCCATCTCTACACTCTGCTTCTGTGGTGTGCACCGACACCCAGCCTCCTAAAAAGGCTCTGGACTATGTTCAAGATCATTCTCCTGGTGTTTCCAATGAGGTAAAAACCAATTACTCTCTTTTTCAGATTCCTCTCTTAGGCGCTGTTACTGTGATTCCGAATGTCTGTGTTTTACAATTCACCACGGTGTCTAAGCTATTTCTGAAAATCTACCTTCGCCTCATTATACGTTGTCACCGGTACCATTCCCTGGACATGAATTATACCGTGTTGGCTCTTTCTGAAATCTGGGCCGACGTGAACTGCTCAGTGCAGCCCTGATATCCAGGAGTGGGGTCATAAAACACCAAGCGCAGTGGTCTTTGTGCGAACATTGACCACCTGCTTCGATTAGACTAAAATGCCACCAGGAGGCTTCTCAGACCCATTTGAGCATCATGCCTGGAGGTGCAAAATGACCCATTAGTTTCTTAGATAATCAGATGGTTAGGCCCCACATATTCCTAAAATGTATTGTAATTGTTTCATTTTCCTAAACACAATTTATGCGTTTCAGCATCAGATAAAATCAAGAATAGGGCTGACATGCATCAGAGTAAATATTGAATGTAAACTTGAATTGAAAAAAATTTAAAAGCTAGAAAAAAAAACCAAAAACAGGGCTGACAAGTAACTGGCACACGTGTCACACTTCCGGTTCCACACCGACAGGCATTTCTAATCCTTCTCCACCCTGTCATCCACACAGTACCTAGATTACCACTGGAGAATGACATGAAATGCATTTGCCATCTCTCTCTGGAAATGTTCATCGCCGTCTGCTGGGTACAATAAAATTATGCCCGGCAATGTAAAATTTTATTTGAATTGGTCAAAAGGAATATGAAAAAGGCAGAAATAATCCAGAGTCAAAAGCTTTTTATCCTGCTCTTTGCAGAGAAAAATAAAATATCTTGGAAAGCAGATTTAGGACTCGTTAGTAAACACAAGATTTAGGGCTCAAATCTTTTAGAAACAAACTATATACTTAATACTATTTCCTATTAACTCTTGATTTCTGTTAAATTCTTGGGCTAAAAATAGTAGAAACTTAATTCTGTGCATTCTATATTGTTATGGGAGTGGCAATAAAAATCACATAAAACAACTCTTTGCTGATGGTTAAACTGATTTGCCATTACCTCTTTGGGATTGAGAGAGTTGTTGAATGATCCTGAGAGCATATTAGCTATGTTATTAGTTTCACATCATGGGGTTTTTTCAGAGTGTAAAAAAATACTTTGATAAGGTACTATATTCTGTAAAAATTGTAAATGATAAGACATTACCTTCGCTACCATTTATCAAATGCCTAGTACATGCCACAAACAACATATCTATAAATAAAACTGAGAAACCCGCATCACTGAACAATAATGAAGGACTTTTAAGCAAGTATAATCACATGATCACTTAACAGAAAGAGTGATTCGGTGACTCTGCTTTATTAAAATGCCCTTTGTTTAGGTGTGTTAAAAAAAATGGTCACATCTAAATACCCAGTCGATCATAATAGGTAAAGCAGGTTGCCTCCTTTCTGGAGACAATTTCCATTTCAGGATGAGTACCATTCATACAATCTCATACAAGGTTTTCTCTTGGTCATCTACCTAGACTTTTTACTGTTTCCTTTTAACTTAATACTAAGCCTTTTCCTTTGAGTATACATAAAGTCACACAATCCATTTCAGTTTATTTTGGATTGTGGAAAAACCAACACAAGGAGGAATTGTTGTAGTTTCTGAGCCTAAGTCTGAAACAATAGGAAGTGTAGAGCCTTCACTTCCTATAGGGTGTTTTAATTCATATGACAATATTATTTAGGCTCATCCCAAGCTGGCAATCCAAAATTTCTGACCACTCTAGGGGTGTTCTAAGAGTTCTCTAAAATGGACACTTTCTGATGATCAACTGTGGTTTGTGGCTGGGTGTCCCAGGAAAGGAGTCATCCACACAGATGCAACGTTCCGAGGCTCTTGGGTGTCGCTCTTCTGAGAACATAGAGAATTAATATTTCTAAATCAAAGTACATGGTTTTATGTATTTACTTGTTAGTCTTCCTTCTTATTTAGTATTTATTTTTCCACCTTTCCAGTGTCTGGTTCAGAGTTGAGTTAAAATAATCTTGTAAACTTATCATATCAGCAGACCAAACTTTTTTTCCCTAAGTTTATATTTATTGAGAACCTAGAAATCTGAATGTTTTTTAGGAACTAAAATTATTACAATATGCTTTTTCTGTCTAACATGGGGGGACTATTCTCTTGCAGAGGATGCTTTTGTTTGTTTCTGGGCAAGATTCCATTCTCATTTAGTAAGATGGAATTAAAAGAAAGTATTACTGAATCGAAGCAATTTTAGATTCTGCTTCATAAAAGGGCTTGTCAGACTGATCTACATAAAGAATTTCAAAATTATATACTGATATTTTAACTGTTTAATTGGTGCTAATTTACAAACAGAAACTACAGTTCTAGAAGTAGTTCTTAAAGTGTTCAGTTTCCACTAAGAAGGTTTTAATCTTGTAAAATATTTCTTAGAGGTAAGAACTAAAGATAAAATGTGTCAACTTCTGCATTTCCGGCTAACATTTATAGTCATTCATATAGAAGAATATTTTCAAACTAGAATTTCAATTCTTCATCAGACCAGTTTGCCGGGGTTCTTGTTCCAGCATCTTAGAAGGGTTCAGCAATCAGGAGAAGGGCTGTGTGTAACTTAATAAAGAGTCCAGAGACGAAACATAATTTTGAAAGGCATTTGGGGGTCAGAGGAGCTTAGCTAAAAGGAACTAAGTTCTCCTGTCTCAGGACACCTTGCTTTTTATTAACACAATTTGTCCTAAGGCGAGGTGGAGATATACACTTCAAAGGGTACAGAATCCATTGTCAGATTGGAAGAATTTGCCTACAGCTGTTCAGGTGTTTGGCCAGTAGGAGGCAATAACATGTATATTAAGATGCCCTGAGCTGTCTGGCAGCAAGCAATCATCCCTTTTCAGGTTTGGGGAAATGCCTTAGCCATTCCAGCAGGCGATAACATATGTGACTCAGCCCTTGTTGAGTCCCCAAGTTCCATCAACCTTTTGATGAAACTCTTGCAATTATGACATGCAAGAACTGGCTTCCAGCACCAGTTTATTTGTGATAAAAAATTAATCAATTATGACCAAAGCCAAGACTATTTAATATGCATTTTCCTATACATTCTAGACATCAGTGTCACCTCCAGAATTCTAGAGTGTGATTCTCTCTTACCTTTTAGATATTTTAGCAATTATTCCAGTGGATGGCCATTGGAAGTGAAAAATTCTTATGTAACATTTTTGCTTAATAACTATTTCACTATACTGTTCAGAATGGCGCATGAAAATGGTGTGTATAATAAGCATTTGGAATTATTTTCAGTTTTTAGTACCTCCAACCATGGACAACTGAGAGTTGATTTTATGATCAAAATGTTAAAAGTCAACTTTTTTTAAGGCTATATATTGGGTCATTAAATCATTTATTATAAACTAACCTGAAAGATAGTTAACTATTTGAAAGATGTGATAATCTGTACCTGATTTGCATACCAGTAGTTCAGTTTAATTTCAAGCCAAATTCTGTGGTTTTTATTAAAATGTTATGTCTATGTTGACAGATGAAAGATGTCTCAAGTTCTGCTTAAATTTTAGGTTTTAAAGATAACACCTGCAACATGACAAAAATTTATTTTTAAACAGTTTATGCTTTATAAGGATTGAATGACTACAAAGTTTTTTAAAAAATCTTCAAACCATTCCTTTATGTAGGAAATTTCTATTTATAGCCGATTTCCAACATAAGAAACATTTATTGATTTTTCTTTTTTTCTCCCAGGCAGTGTTTAGGTTGTAATTTGAATAAAACAGAGCAATACAGTGCAGTAAGTCAGAAGAGAAAGTAATAGATGGGAAGGAAGTAGAAACCCTGTGGCGTGATTTATTTTAGGGGAGACATTTTTCTGATCATAATAAATGGTATTTTTAATCTCAACTTTGGCAATATCCTTTTTAGCATACCTAATTTAATGTTCATGGACAAAATACAATTTTTTCACGGTCCTATTCTTCTATCTTAACAGGCCTCCTTGTATCAATCTTCTATAGACAGAAGCCTGGAAAGACCCAGTAGGTAAGAATGTTATTACATTATGCAACTGGAATATTGTATACCAGTGCTTTCTCTTTCCATTAAACAGCAATGAGGATTATGTATCATGTTTTTATTTTATGTAATACACTTCATGAAGTTGTTTTGTTTCTGCATCATTTTATATGATCATATTCAAGAATTTATGAAAATCAAGTGGACAACTGAGAGTTGATTTCTGGACTCCTTCACAGACTGAGAAATTCTCCTCTTCCCTGTCTCCTCTATAACCATATCTTTAAATGGGGATTATAAACAGCTAATTTTCAATACTGTTATATGATGCATTTAATACAGGGGTGGGCAAAAGTAGGTTGACAGTTATAATACAAATAAATAACACAAGAATAAATAGTAACACAGAATAAACTATTTTGCATACCCATACCTGAAAACTACTGTTGCCTATCCCTGTATATTTGAAAAATTTTATAAAACACATATGTGTTCATTATACTCTTACCACACAAATGAGAATTATGTTACTACCAATAAATAAGGACTTACACTATATACCAAGCATTCTAAGTATATAAGCATATTCAATCCTTAAGCACCACTCTGACTTAAGTACCATTATCTCCATTTTATATCTGAGTACGCTGACACTTAGGCTCCATAACTTACTAAGTTTACACACTTGGCAAGAAGCAGAGACAAAGTAAAATTGACCCAAAATAGCTTGTAACCAACCACTAGTCCTGCCTTAAAAGTCTGCCAGGGTAAGTTCTGTTCGTGGGCTTTGTATATCATACTTACTTTAAAATATTACAGAAATTCAGACACAGTTTGACAGCAGTATTGAATAATTCAAACTCCCAGCCACACTTTATCATCAACAACACATCTATGTATATAAAAGCCTAATATGCAAATTGTCCCCTCGAAAGTTCGACCAGGAGACCCGGAGTTTGATCGCTCACTATGATGTACACTGACCACCAGGGGGCTGTGTGGAACGAAGGAAGGCCCTGGCCGGCAGCCAGAAGACCCTGATCGGCTCTGATCGCCAACCAGGCCTAGGGACCCTACCCGTACATGAATATCCTGCACCGGGACTCTAGAATTTTCATAACATTAATTTGCCCTTCACTAGATTTCTCTCAACATAAGTAGAAGGCTTTGTAAACTGGGTTCATGAGTGCCATCCAATGACATGAATGTCACTAAGAAAGGAGCTCCCCAGCCCCTCTTTTTGTGTCTTTTTCTATCCACACCTGCACCTAAAATGTTTGAATTTCAGAGTTCTGATCTGGCGTGAGGATTGCTGTAGACACACAGACCCTCACATGACAGACTGACGACAGCAAAACAGGTCTAGGAGAAGATGGGGCGCCCTCTTTGGAGGAGTGCAGGCAGATTCTGAGGTCTGCTCCACCTCTGTGCTTGCAGAGCCAGCGTGCTCCATTTACCACTGATAAAACAATGATAACCCTGTGGGCTGGGTAAGACCACCTGTCAGTATAGCAGACAGCACTCGGCTGCCTCCTAGGGGCTGGTGCACTTTAGCTGCCGCTGTTCATGCCATTGTAGCTAACGACGTGGCAGACAGCGGGCTGTGTGACGTGTATCTCCACTCACTGTCTTGAGTTACATACTCAGACCGAGAACCATGATGAAAACGTCCTGCCATTAAGACCACTGACACCATTGAATACGAATGGTGAAAGGACACTTTACTAGTCTACTTGCTGACCAAATCACTGGCCATTGATTACTTAAACAGGAAATATTGGGGTTGCAGTGTAAGGTTTTTAAAGCTAAGATTATTAGGACGAGCCACAGGGAAGCCCTGAGGTAAGAAGTTTGTCTCATCAGGTGTCGGCCTCTTTCCCAGTCCTTCCCTGCATCCTGGCCTCCCTCCTCTGGATGATCCGTGTTGTTGGAATGCTTCCTTATGGGGAACAGGTGGACAATACGAAGCATCAGACTGAATTGTCAGTCATAACGTATTACACTAATTGGAGAATTTTTACTTTAAAAGATGGTGATAGCCCTGGATGGTTTTCTCAGTGGTTAGAGCGTCGGTCTGTAGACCGAAGGGTTCCAGTTTTGATTCCTGGTCAAGGAATCGAACATACCTTGGTTGCAAGTTCCCCAGCCCCGGTAGGGGCCCCTGTGGGAGGCAACCAATCAATGTGTCTCTCTCACATCGATGTTTCTCTCCCCTCCCACTCTCTCTAGAAATCAGTGGGGAAAAAATATCCTCAGGTGAGGATTTTTACAAAAACTTTTTTAAAAAGATGATTATAAACTCATATCCACACAAAAATCTGCTTTGTTTATAATTGCCAAATTTGAAGCAACCAAGAAGCCCTTCAGTAGCTGAATGGGTAAGCAAACTGTGGCACAACCACATAAGGGAATGTTATTTATTCAACAATAAAAAGAAATGAGCTATCAGCCAAAAAAAAAAAAAAAAAAAAAAAAAGACAGGAGAAAATCTTAAAGGCATATTGCTAAATGAATGATGCCAATCTGAAAAGACTACATCCTGGTGGTTCCAACTATATGGCATTCCAGAAAAGACAAAACCCTGTGGACAGTGAAAAGATCAGTGGTTGCCAGGTGTCCGGGGAGGGAGGGAGGAAGAGGTAGAGCATGGAGATGTCCAAGGAGCGGGGACATGACACTATTCTACAGGATGTGGTAGTGATGGACACATGTCCCACGTTGGTCAAAACTGATAGAATGCTCAACAAAACACATAAACCCTATATAAACTGTGGACTTTAATTACATTTAATAATAATATTACAATATAGTTCACCAACTGTGACAAATGTACCACACTAATAACGGATGTCAATAATAGGGGAAGCTGTATGCAAGGGTATATGTGGGACTCTCTATACTTTCCAATTACTTTTCCAGACACCTAAAACTGCTCTAAAAATAGTCTATTTTTTTAAGTGACAATTACAAAGAAACTAGAGGCCCGATGCATAAAAATTCATGCACTCAGGGGTGGGGGGGTTGTCCCTCAGCCTGGCCTGCGCCCTCTCACAGTCTGGGAGCCCTCAGGAGATGTCCATCTGCCAGCTTAGGACTGCTCCCCGGGGGATCAGGCCTAACTAAGCTGGCAGTCAGACATCCCTCTGACAGCCTGGGAGCCCTTAGCACTGCTGTGAAGGCTGGAGAGGCTCCTGCCACCGCTCACAGCCATCAGCCCGGCTTGTGTCTGAGCAGAGCTCCCCCTGTGGGAGTGCACTGACCACCAGGGGCAGCTCCTGCGTTGAGCGTGTGCCCCCTGGTGATCAGTGCGCGTCATAGCGACCGGTCATCCCAGTCATCCTGCTATTAGGGTCAATTTGCATATTACCCTTTTATTATATAGGATAGTGTTTAATATTAAGGAATAAATTTCTAAAAATGCAGTTTGGGGGGGTGGGGGAGAAGAGTTATAACACTGTTGCTAGCATATCCCACCCGTCTTTCTGGCTCACGTTAACCCCCTCCAACACCAACCACACTGCAGTGATTCCTTCTTGCAGCTCTGCAGGCCTGGCCAGTGACTTCAGGAAAAGGAGGAAGAGCGAGCCGGCCGTGGGGCAGCCGAGGGGCCTGGGGGACCCAAGGGCGAGCAGGACCAGCCCCGGCCGGGCGGACCTCCCGGGATCGAGCGCCACCCTGACCCAGTCTTTCATTAGTTCTTCCCCTTCCTCCCCATCCAGAGCAAAAGGTAAACAGCAATGAATAGAAGTGTAAACAAGTTACTAGTATATGTTTTAAGCTGGAGTTCCCTGTGAAGCTGGTCCAGGGATAACTATCCAGAGAGAGCATTTAAATGAACTTTTGGAACAATAGCTTTCTTCCTACACAGACTAACTCAGGTTGAGCCACCCAAGTGGCGTAAAGGAGTGTATCATCTGTTAATGCTTTTTTCCTTCTAAATATATCATTTTGGGTTTGTTTTTTTGGGGGGGCAGGGGGGGGTGGGAACAAATTCAAAGTATCAAATAATTTGTTGGCAGGCTATTAAAGGATTACGTTTGCAAACATGTGCATATTATCAAATTTTTCTAATGTTCTACAACTAGCAAAATTCATCAAATTTATAGAATAGGAATTAGAAGTAGCAACAGAGAACACTGTTGCCTAAAACAAATCGGGGTTTTTTTAAATTATTATTTAATTCTAGATAAAAATCTGCCTAACCTGTGAAGTCACTTCTTTAATCATCTGCTCTATATTTCGGTCAATATGCATATATACAGTAGACTATCCATCAATATAGTGTTCAATCCACGGCGGCACGGTGGTAAGAACTAACTGGTTTTCAGCCATAATTATAAAACCTGGACACCACCAAGCCCTTTTTCCATACGACCTGTCTCCTCTCCGGAAATTCAGCGAGTTGTGCTGAGAGCGGGCAAGCTACTCCTTCCAGCCCCTGAAATCCTGTTGCGTGCACTAGTGCCACCGTAACGGGGATAATGCTAAGGCGGAGCCTGGGGATTGAACCAGCATCGCTAGGCACCTGGGTTTGTACCAAATCTGGGGCTCCACAGTCCCCCCCAGCCTCCTGGGGTTGAGACAGAACCGAGAAGGAATCTGAAATGTGTGAAGAAAGCAGCCTCTCACAGGAGTTTCCATGAAATAGCACCGATTCCGCCACGTCTATCAAATGCAGGCACTAAAAGTGTGGCCACGTGGTAGTTAAAGGTGAGAGGGAGCTGGTTTGCGTGCAAAAGACAGGCTGGTTTTGATGCCTAGAGTCTGGATAGACAGAAGACACCAGCTCTGCTCTGTATCCTAATAAAACTGTGAAAACTAACCAGCAGGTTCAGGGCGGGGCGGGGGCGGGGGCGGGGGGGTCCTTTGATACCTGTCCTCAAATTAGCAAGGTTGCCTTTATCAGAGTCGGCTCGGCTCATCGATTCTAGTGAATATCTTAAGGTAACACATAGGTCACGAAATGCCCTTGAGCCTTTACGCTTGGATACCACCCTTGGATACCACCCGAAAGCTGAAAGAATTGATTGATTTAGCTATTTGTTTTCCTCCTGGGGAGTGTAAAGCCAACCTCCTTTCCCAAATGCTTTTTATGTGCTTATTCACTTTCTAAGAATTTGGGAAGATTGCAAGGCAGGAGCTCAACAGAGTTATTTTCTTCCACTAGGTTTATTTCTAAGAAGAAAATGCCTCCTCAGATGGACTTGGCCTCTTACTTATTAGTTAATTCAGCCAGGCAAAAGAAAAGAGTTTTCCCATACATGTTCCAAACTGAGGCCATGCTGAGCTCTCTGTTATCAAAATGGTACATGAGGTTTTAAAAAGACCCTCCCTGGGGAAAAGCAGGATGCCTTTCACCTCTGGTGAGAGCTTTACATTATATATATCCAGCCACGCTCATGACAACCTGCCTACCAAAAGGTTCTAGGTAGAGCGAGTAAAGACGTAAGGTAGTTTTGTTTAAAGACGCGCTAGTTATTTTTTTCTTCTCGGGAAAATGTTAGCAGCCATAGTTCACAGCATCTGGATGTTGCTATTTCGGAAAATACTTTGTCTTACAGCTTTTCCCATCTAGTGCCCATGGAAAATTAACTAATACAGTTGTGGGAGTTTTAATTAAATGTAAATTTATAAATCACGATTTACCTTTCTATTAGCATACATCAAATGAGACTCAAATCCTGACCCTATTAACTTGATTATCCATATCATTTGGGGCATTAATTATTAAACCTTTACATTGCTACCAGGACATGCTGCTAGCATATAAGGTACTATATTATATTTGAGGCAAATAACATTTGCAGAAAGAGGTACGAAGTATTCAATAGAAGAAGAAATAGGTCTTATTAGCTATTGGTCGTATTAGCTACACCAATGACGTTTTATGCATGGTTTTGTCAACTCTAATACCTATCTTTAAAGCTACGTACAATAGAAGCAGAAATAGGTCTTATTAGCTATTGGTCGTATTAGCTACACCAATGACGTTTTATGCATGGTTTTGTCAACGCTAATATCTTTAAAGCTATGTTCACTGCAAACGCAGTATCTTGCCTTAGAATTAGACTGTTTTCTCTGGAAGTGAAGCTTCAAGGGTAACAATGTGTCTATATTAAACCTGCTGCCTCTCTTGCTGCCTGTCTGTCTGATGCTAACTGACATGCTCTCCTCTCTGTGAAACTTTTAACCTCTTCACACGTCTCTCTCCCACCACGCTGCTCCGGATTAAAAGGTGGGGATGATAGCAAAATGTGTGCACCCCTTTGCAGTTGCTCAGGGCCCCGCGGCCGCCCCTGCCAGGAGGTAGATGACTGTCCCCCTTACAGACAGCACCTGGACGTCCCGCGCGACTCGCAGCGGGCCCTCGCCTTCAAAAACGGCTGGCAGATGGCCCGGCAGAACGCCGAGGTCTGGAGCAGCACCGAGGAGGCCGTGTCCCCCAAAATCAAGTCCCGCAGCTGCGACGACCTCCTGAATGACGACTGCGGCGGCTTCCCCGACCCCAAAGCCAAGTCGGAGAGCATGGGCTCTCTGCTCTGCGAAGAGGACGCCCAGGAGGGCTGCCCGGTGCCGTGGGCACCCCCCTTCCTGCAGGAGACCAGGGCCACCGGCAGGTCCCGGCTGCGCCACGGCTCAGCCCACAATGCCCCGGGCTTCCTGAAAATGTACAAGAAAATGCACCGCATCAACCGCAAGGACCTGCTGAACTCCGAGGTGATGTGCTCCGTGAGGTCGAGGGTCCTGCAGTACGAACAGGAGCCGCACGCCCCGGGCCTGCTCCACGGATGGAGCCAGTCCTCCGCCGACGAGGTGCCCAGGGACATGGTCCCCACCCGCATCTCGGAGTTTGAAAAGTTGATTCAGAAGTCAAAATCCATGCCCAACCTGGGGGAGGAGATGCTGTCCCCGGCGGTCCTCGAGCCCCAGCACCACGGGCTGGGCCCCACCCGGCGGTTCTCCATCGAGTCCTTGCTGGAGGAAGACAATCCGGGCAGGCACCCTTGCCCGGGACCACGGAGCTGCACGTCCAAAACCCTGGTGCCCATCCACATTGAAGTCACCAGCGAGGAGCCGCCGAGAACCCATCTGGAGCTTTCGGACAGCGACCAAGACGGGGTGGTGTCCGAACACAGCGACTGCATGCACGTCGAGGGCTCGTCCTTCTGCAGTGAGAGCGATTTCGACCACTTTTCGTTCACCTCCTCGGAAAGTTTCTATGGGTCCAGCCACCACCACCACCATCACCACCATCACCATCACCGGCACCTCGTCAGCTCCTGCAAAGGCCGGTGCCCTGCCTCTTACACTCGGTTCACCACGATGCGAAAACACGAAAGAGCGAAACATGAAACGACCGAAGAGCCCAGAAGACATGACCCGGACGCCGGCCTCTCGAAACTTGCCTTTCTAGTCAGCCCCGTGCCTTTCCGGAGGAAAAAGCATTCGCCGCCCAAAAAACAGACGGAAAAGGCAAAATGCAAAACGGCCGTCTTCGAGGCTCTGGACTCCGCCCTCAAAGACATCTGTGACCAAATTAAGGCTGAAAAGAGAAGGGGGAGTTTGCCGGACAACAGTATTTTGCACCGTCTGATCAGTGAACTGCTGCCGGACGTCCCCGAGAGGAACTCGTCGCTGAGAGCTCTAAGAAGGAGCCCCATGCCCCAGCCTTGCCACCCGCTGCCCCAAGACGGTGCTACCCACTGCCCATGGTACCAGAGCGACTGTGGGAGGATGCCCCACAGTGCCTCTCTCCAAGACATGGACACCAATAGCAACTACCACCCAGACCACGACAGTGCCCTGGGTCTGCCAGGTGGACGAACCTTTCTTTGTTTCTCCTTGTGGTTCACATACCCACCCTCCAGCTCTGTCATTTTCCATCCCCACATCTCATCACTCCTGAGCTGTGAGCCCACCTGGCACCATTGCTGTGCACACGCCCCTCACCGCGTAGTTCTCATTTTTCCGTGTGATGGTTGGACGTGGTGTGTGTGGCTTGACGTAATCACCAGTTCACAAAAATTTACTCATTCGAAATCGAAAGGGAACATGGTTTTGTAGCTTGATGTTAGGGTTGAGACGACTGTTAGTTACAACACAACAAGAAATTAAACACGTTACCAATTTTAAAAGATGTCAAGGCAACCCGTAATTAACTAGCGGTCTCCTTAAGAGATTAACACCTTTGCACTGGCTCTTTTATTGTTGGGAAATGAATCAAAAGCAATAGTTTAATGACTAGTTTTTTCCTTGATTTTTTAAAAACTTTGTAGTCATTCACTCGATAAGTAATTTGCTTATAGTCTATATAAAACGTACTACAGCAAAATACTCTAGGAAGCAAAACTGAAATATGTAGCAAAGTAATTGATGGGTGATTACAAGAGACTAGGATTTGTTTAATAACTTTCTCCACTTGAAGGGCACAATTAGGGTAAATTTTTTGTGAATGTATCTTTAAGCTGTATATATATAACAGTCTCATTTCCGTCACTCAGTGTATTCATTTTCTCTTCCATTCCATTGCTTAATTTATCTACTTTCTATTTCTGCTACAATAATCCTCTATTGACATTAGAATTAGGCCATTTAGGTTAAGCGTGACTCTCAACTCTGTTTTCATAGATGGATTATCACCTTGAATTGGCAACACAAGGACAGATAGCAATTCAGATACAGAAAATGTTTTTTTGAGGTTTACAGAACTGAAAAGCACAAAGTGTTCTGATATCTTTATACAGTTGTTTTCATTAATCCTTCAGGTGCAACTGTTTTCTATGTAGATTTTAAGAAGTTGGATCACCAGACATTGTACCCGACATTGCAGTATGTTTCACATACATTATCCAGTGAACACTGGCATAAGCCTGGGTGATAGGGATTATTATAGGCACTGTTTTACAATGAAGGAAACGGAGACCCAGAGAGGACAATAAACTTGACCAAGGGCATGTCGAGAGAAGGTAGCACTAACAGATTTAAACTCCTAACACTTCAGAATTTGTAATATAGACTATATCTCAATAGGCAAAAAAGAGACATAACTCAAGCTTCATATTAATGTAGCATATGGCTCACTTGTTAATTCTCATTGCACAACTTCACTATATTACTAGTATTTATCTTTGCTCCACTTATACTACGCAACATGATTCAAAAACAACAAATTAGCATTTTCAAAATCAATTTCTACAGTTTGAAATTCTCACTGACTGAGCCCTGTCAGCATCTAATTTTTTAAATAAATTAGCTACCTTTTCCAGTTATTCAAAATCCTAGTTTAATCACCACTCAACAGTATATGCAGATAGAGTACATACTATCAGTAAGGCATGAGTTCAGAGGGCTTTGCAATGCAAAGGGTATTTTGTATTTTATTCAAATATTTACTTTTCCAGTTGTGTTTAGCAAAAGTAATTTAAAATGATGATCACTATGAGAGCCCTATGATCATAAAAATATATTAATTTACAGTGAAAAAATACTGCACATAAACCTCTAGCATTCACGGAAATAACTGGTTAAGTTTACCTAAAATATTATTGCCATGTTACCTTCCTAAGCCTAGAGACTCCACACCTCACAGAGAGTTAGGCATTTATCTTTATCTGTCATGGAACTGACATCCCACCTACTATCAGTGGACAATTCTTCCTTGTCATCAAAGCAGTCAAAACCTTTAGACCATGTTTTCTTTTTATAAATCAGTATTTCTCATCCTTACAGATGGATTTATTTCACAGTTACTGCATCTTGTTATTCAACATAACTACATTTATTAAAGGGATAAGAGAAAGAATTTACAAATTTTGACCCAGTTATACTGGTAAAATTTTATAACATAGGCTACTGGAATACTTTGAGTTACATTTCCACATATAAATGTGTAAGGTATAAGATAACTATTAAGAGATCCTTGCAATCATAATTCTGTAAAGTAACTAATTATTTATACTTTGCTTTAAGGGGAACAAAAACAATTCACTATTTCATAAGCAATTTGGCAACGGACGTGATACTTTCTGTTTCGAGAATATTTATCCCTTTGTTTCTTGGAATAAATATTTACTTCCTGATACGCTAAGTTGAGCACAAGGAAAGAACAGAAATAAGGCCCATCTCAAGTCTCAGTAAATATTTAAAAACAGAGAGAGGGAGAGAATGGACATGACCATAGTTATGTCATCATCATACTTTCTTTTTCTTTACTACATTCTTAAATTGTTGTTCCACAAAATGTCTCCAATTCTATACATTAGTGCTATTCTCCATCTTCTATAAGCCTTAAAATAGTCATTATAAGTTGAAGGCAAAAAGAATAGAAATAGAAAATATTTAAAATTCTTCGAGATGAAAAATTCCTGCAACTATGAACTTTCTGGCCTGGAGGATGCTGTATAATTATATCAGCAGTGCAGCAATTATATTTATAGGTACGACTATAATACTTCTGCAACCTCAGGTAATTTTCCTTTTGAAATGCTCTGTTTTTATGTCTAATGTCACAACTGTATGATTCCTTATGAGTTTCATACCCATGTTTTCCATTGTGGTGTCTCTCCATATTTTAAGGGGGGAAATAGTTGTCACCAGGGAAAATGGCTAAACACGTCTGCTTTGAATAGGTGGGTACTCACTCTCGCCCTGTCCTTTCCATTAGACCGCGAGTCCCCTAGAAGTTACGCGTCCACTGTGGCTGACTTGGGGAGGAGCGCACCGCGGGAAAGAAGAGGAACTCCAGAAAAAGAGGTAGTTTGTTCAATAGCATTTAAGTTTTTGTCAATAAGATACCTGAAAACGTTGCCAGTCAAAGTTACATCCAAAACCAGTGAAGAACACAGACTAAAAACATAAAAATGACAATAGAGAAACTTAGAACGTTTTCCCTGGAGCCGGAGCAAAGGACTGGAGAGTTTGCGTTCTGACCCCAGCTGCAGATCGGCCCCAGCTGCGGCCCAGCTGTAGCAATGAGACCTCCTGTGCATCTGGACCTCACACCCATGAATGGACAGTCGTGGTCAAAAGCATCTGCAAACTCCTGGCCCAGTAATGTAGGGAGAGCCCTAGGTCAACCATGTTGCAGATCAATACAAAGGCTATATACATATTTGTTGCTGGCCTGCTTTTGTTGGTGAGGGTCCCTCAAAAACCACTGCCCTGTAAGAGGTCAACCAAAGGACTTGTATGCATGCATATAAGCATAACCAATGGACACAGACAATAGGGGGGTGAGGGCCTGTGCAGGGGGGTGAGGGCCTGTGCAGGGGCGAGAGCAGGCTGGGAGAGGTCAATGGGAGAAAAGGGAGACATATGTAATACTTTCAACAAGAATTTACCAAAAAAACCACTGTCCCTGGGAACCACCTACCTACTAGCTCTTGACCAATGCCCTGAGCCAGGCCTGGAGCTCTGGCTCACACTACCTTGGAGTCGTGAGGGTCTGGTGGGGTCTGAAGGCTGGTCTTGGACTGGCCGCCCCTCCAGGAGTATCTCTATAGGTGTCTGATAGAGTCCTGTGCCCGTGGGACTCCCGCCAAAAGAAGTCAAGAATGGTCCAGGCTGCCTGAATCACAGGGGAAAAGAGTGGGGTGAGGGACTCATTGGGAAGTAGGGAAGGAAGAGGTGGAGTAGCTAGCTTACCGGTGCCCCAGTCAGATCTATGGGCCCCACGGTTTGATGGGAAGCACACGTCACATGTCATGACTAAAAGATGAGCAGCCGGTGTACCATGTGCTGAAGAATTCCTGAACCCTCCGGGGAATGCAAGACCATCCAGCCTATACTGTTGGCCACTAAACAGCCTCCCAGCGATAACTGGGCTAATGTTTCTCTGCTACTATGTTCATAAGAGTTTAGAAAAAGGGATGATGACTTCCTTCCCAACTTTCACCAGTCCTTTTATTAGGATTCAGAAGGAGCTGTGCCAATACATAAGACATAGATAACTGCTTCCACAATTATCCCAGGAAATGCCTTGGTTCCAGCCAAAATTATACCTGGGACAGAATCCTCTGCAGGCATTTTATTCCTTATGGCATTCATCTACCGTAGTTGCTAAGATGAAATATGACTTTCAATAGTTATGGTGAATAAGCCATCTATTATATTCCTGCTATTGCTTAAGCATCTAAATGAAGAACTGATTGATTTATTCATAAATTGCATATAGAATTTACATTATATATTTTTAATCATTCCTTGAGTTTCACATCGCTTTAATTCCTGTGAAACTGCTTTCTTATAGGAAACCCAAAATTTTAAGTTAGTGCTAATCATTTTCCTTCCTTTCCAGAAATTGCCTGCAAAAGCTGTTTATGATTTTAAGGCTCAGACATCTAAGTAAGTAAGATAAGTATTCATCATATGATTTAAGTTGGCTATGTACACTTTAATAATACTTTATGAGATAAATATTGCAATGGGACATGTTCAAATAATGCAGCAATCCACTCTAATTAAATGGTTCCTTCTGAATTAACTGGAATGTGGGTAATTTTATTTTCATTTTGAGTTTAGTTGAGAATCATTGAGTTTTAAACTACACTAAACATATTACAGCACAATGAATTCAAATGGGTAGGTAAAACAAAAAAAGAAATTAAGCATCTTTGTTTCTCGAATTTTCGTGTCAAGATGAAGTAAAAATAAAGAGTTGGGGAGTAATTAACACTTCCTGGGAGAATTTGATAACATTTATTTATCCAACTAAATCAAGGACAGTTTTCGGGGTTGAAGACTAGAACTGTGCACAGATTCCCACCATAAAATCTCCATGTATCAACACTCAAAGCTTAGCGATTCCAGTTTGGCTTAGTGGCTAGAGTGTTGGCCTGCAGACTAAAGGGTCTTGGGTTCAATTCCAGTCAAGGGTACATGCCCGGGTTTTAGGATCATTCCCCAGTAGGGAACGTGCAGGGGGCAGCCAATCAAAGATTCTCTCTCATCACTGATGTTTCTATTTCTCTCTCTCTCCCTTCATCTCTGAAATCAATAAAAATATGTTGTTGTTGTTTAAAAAAAAAAGCTCAGCGAGTCTGAGCAATGTTCTCTCCTGTGGCCTTTGATATTGGTGTTGTCATACTCCTGTGTTGCAATACTTTCTTTCCCTTTTTTCTTTAGGCTCTTGTTCATCAGATGGGCATGTGGTTAAGGAAAGTCAGTACAGGTACTAGGTACATGAGTTGGCTCAAATGGGAGGGAGTCTGCCACCTCACAGTGGCCCATGTGCCCAGACCTTGTTTAAGAAACTTCAGTCTCTATTAGAATTCAAGATATTAAATTCATTGTAAATTGGCATAAAATTACACTGCATGGTTTAGACTGAATATATTCAATAACCCAAATATTTATTCATGAAAATGTATATTATATAAATTCATTGTTCCAGAGTCTGTCTCTAGTAGTAGAAGACAGAGAGAAAATAAAGTCATTCAGAATTGGCTGAGGCTGCTGAGATAGGGAATGAATCAAAAAGAAAAATGCTATTTAGAAATTAAGATGTTGAACATGGCTTAAACCTGGTATTAAAAAAATATATACCTAAAAGAAAAGCTTACATTTTTAAAATTATTATTAGAGAAGTAACATCTGCTTTATGTCTACTATACTCTGGTCCTCACTACTACTGTTTTTTTAATATAGTGTGACAATTGGAGGATGCATGTTGGTTTTATAAAATAACGATACAGAACACGTGAATTTCATTTCTTCTTTGTGACAGTCCAAGGTTAGCAAAGGCTCAGGGAAGCCTGCTCTTCCACCGGCCGCCCGTGGGAGCATCAACAGCACAGACCTGAGGGTTGCCCGCACCACCCCTCCCGTAAAGCTCTTCCTAATCCAACTAAGCCTAATGGTGTATGCCTCAGAGAAGCAGGTTAAACAGTCACCATGGAAGCCATCCCATAATTTTAGGAAGAGAAAACTGTTCCCCTCCCACCATAAATAAATATATCTTATTGCAGCTTCGTCACATTCCTCTTGCTCTGTTCTCATATACATAGAGCTGTTGCTCATCATCCCTGTTGCAATGACCTATTTGCAACAAAAGTCAAGGTTTTGGCCAACTCGGGCAACTCTCAGAGGCTCCCACGCCCAGCCAGCACTGAAAGTTACGGAAGGGCTAGCCCAGTGGTTCTCAACCTTGGCTGCACATTAGAATCACCTGGGAATCTTTTTAAAATCCTGATTTCTGGGCCTCATCATTAGTAACAAAGAAACAGAATTTCCGGAGGATGAGGCCCAGAAATCAGGATTTTAAAAAGATTCCCAGGTGATTCTAATGTGCAGCCAAGGTTGAAAACCACTAGGCTAGCCTCATTTTTAAGTCATTTCCATTAATGCCCAGACAGGAGCACTTTTCATGCCTAACATCTAACAGGCGAGAGATGGATACCTGTTTTAAATAAAAATCTATTTTAAAAGCTATTTTTACTTACCTAATACATGAAATGTATTTAATTTTTTTAAAATACAGCTATGTAACTTACCAAATGTAATGTCTCCATTGTTAAACAGGAAAACAAGGTAAAATCACACTTGCAAAGTTATAATATTGTGAGCAAATCTTAAGAATTTATAAGGAAAATCCTTATCCAACTGGGCTCGACAGATTTTTTTTTTATAACTGCCACGCGTCCAAAACGGAAGCCATTCCCACACGCCACGATATTTTGAATTTAATTTTTTAAAAATCAATTTGCAATGAATATTATAAAAATAGGTATATTACTCACAATGCAGGTGTTCTGGAATATTTTCAGCTGAAAATTCTCACGAAAAAATGATCTTAAAGTTGGTCTATGGATGCTTATGGCGTACAATGGGTTAGTATCAGAAGTATATTTCCCAGCCGAATGCAGGTCTACTGGTCTTAAGAATAATTGCTCTTCATCGAGAAAAACCCATTTGAGCATGTCTCTCCCAGGGAGCTGTCGTTTAAGAAAGGAGACACTGTCTACATCCTCAGGAAAATCGACCAGAACTGGTACGAGGGAGAGCACCATGGGCGAGTGGGCATCTTCCCCATCTCCTACGTGGAGGTAAGTCCTCTCCCTGCCAGCTCACGCGGGTGCTCATCCCAAGGTCCTCGCGGGTCAGGAATAAACAACTGTTTTCCTCCTAGAAACTCTCACCTCCTGAGAAAGCACAGCCCGCAAGGCCGCCGCCCCCAGCCCAGCCTGGAGAAATCGGAGAAGCTATCGCCAAATACAACTTCAACGCGGACACCAACGTGGAGCTGTCGCTGAGAAAGGTACCCGGGCTGCCTTCTGACCTGGTGCCTTTCAAAGGCTGTCTTCCTCCTTAGACATGTCTGTGTTTTTCCGTAAAGAAAGGACAGAGCACTCCCTGGGGCTGCCCTGGGCCACTGTGTCCTGCCCATCCTGGTGTCCAGATGAGGTCCCTGTGGGACTCGAAGCTTCTCAGAGGGGCTTCTCCTCCCAGGGGTGCCTCGTCCTGAGCACCGTGGAGTTGAACTTGTGGAAAGGCATCAAAAGGAAAAGCACTTCAATAGACTGCAAAAGATTGTTCTGCTGCTGCCTTCTCATTCCGTTTCTTTTTAAATTTTAATTAATATGTTTATCTTGGAGTCATGAAGCTGTTTCTTCCTGGGGAGCATTTTTCCTTCTCTAGGCCTCATGACTGACCCCCTGTTTCACTGGCAGCCTAGCCAATCCTAGTGCCTCTTCCTAGCAGTAGGGAAAGCACGCTACCTTGCTGCTTTACACAGCTGAGAATAGTTCCATGATGGTTTTCGGTGTTTGCTAAGCAATCGTGTCCATTTGCTTGAGGCACCTGTATGTTTGCCCACCACGCAGACTAGACCGTGGTCACATGTGGGCGGGCCAAGAGCGCCTCCTGCCTGCGGTGAATGCAGGGAAGGACCCCTGTCCTCCTCCTGGCTCCAGAGCCTCACCTCCTCCTCCCCTGTGAGACCTGGGTCTGCACCATTGACAGATTCTCTCCTACCCTCCAAGCTGCCGCACAGCATCTGTATCAGCTTGTTTCATACTTTCCATCGAAGCTTCCGCCAATGCAATTATAGCTTGAGCAGTAGCCTAGCATCAGCCTCATGCCAGTGTGTTATAGAGAAAAGCAGTGCAATTTTTTTAAAAATATATTCCATTGATTTTTTTTTTTACAGAGAGGAAGGGAGAGGGATAGAGAGTTAGAAACATCGATGAGAGAGAAACATGGATCAGCTGCCTCCTGCACACCCCCTACTGAGGATGTGCCTGCAACCAAGGTACATGCCCTTGACCGGAATCGAACCTGGGACCTTTCAGTCCACAGGCCGACGCTTTATCCACTGAGCCAAACCGGTTAGGGCAAAGCAGTGCAATTTTAAGATGCAGGGAGATCCACTTAGCTTTGGTATGTTCTGCTCCGTGGCAGGGGGACAGTCTATATAAACCACCCAGCATTTGCGAAAAGCAAGCTTTCACTTTGAGTACCCCTGACAAAGGCCTCCCTACGGTGCTGAAGCTCTGACCTTGTGTCAGTCGCCTCTCTCATCCTCACAGGTGCAGCTGCCCAAACTTTCGCATGATCTGCTGGATGCAGCTGCGCGGAGTTTTAGTGTCTAACCACGTCTTGCCCGCTTATTTCTGGGCCGAGTGTGGTTTCGAGTTAAAATTTACACTGTTTTGTGGCATTGGCTTGATCACTGCAGGCGGCAGGCATAGTGACTGTAGAAAGTTCTATTATTCCAAAAGCCAGGGGTTCTATAAACAGACTGAATGGCCACTGTGGTGTGGCGATCCATCACTCAGAATGGATGCCGGTGTGAGGCCGTCTGGATGCAGACCAGGTGGGTGTCGGCCCTGGCCACAGACGTGGATTACCACGAGGGCTGTCTTGGCCCCACCCCATAGGCTTCACTCTTCGTTACTAGTTAGCATGTGTAGGGTAAAAAGAAAAACGGTGTGCCATTCAACTTCATCCCTTCCGGAGGCTGGTTCCTACAACCCCCTCAGGCACGCCGTCACAGAGCTGAGTGACCCTTTCAGAAGCTCTTCCTTCCTGTGGAAGCTCATTCTGTGGACTGTCCATGACAGGATGCTGCTGTCTAGGAGACATTGCCTATGAAACCGTTCTGCTTTTTGACATTACACAAGTCATTTCACATGGAACCAGTATGAGCATGTATGAGCCCATTCACATTAACCAAGCACCCTTAGGGAAAGATGTCGCGCATGGGTGACTAAATGGCATATGTGTTGATCAGCTGTAATTTGGGAATGAAATGAGACTTTAGTTGCCTTCTCCTGACTAAATAAAACTGGAGGTATAATACTCTCCCAAATGAAAAACTATTGTTTGTTAGAAATGTTGGCAATTATATTTCTGATGTTGTCACCTCCCTACTTACAATGCATTTTCCTCATGTTCATTACAGGGAGACAGAGTTATTCTTCTCAAAAGAGTTGATCAGAACTGGTACGAAGGTAAAATCCCAGGAACCAACAGACAAGGCATCTTCCCTGTTTCCTATGTAGAAGTCGTGAAGAGGAACACAGCCAAAGGCGCCGAGGACTACCCCGACCCTCCAATACCCCACAGCTACTCGAGTGATAGAATCCACAGCTTAAGTTCCAACAAGGTAAGAAGACATTTAGCATATTAGTAGAACACTGGGGAGCTTGGAGTAAGATAATAGCTGATATTAGGTCATTAAGAACATCATCTTTATTGCAAAGCAAGGGATTTACATGTTATGCTTCCAAGTTTGAGTGACAAGTCAAGTCAATACTTAATTTTTCTTATGGTGCTGGCATAAAGGTTTAATGCTTGATTTTGAGAATTTCATTTTCAAATTAAAATACTGAAAGAGAAAAATTAGTATCATAAGAGGCTATGTTATAGATAAACATACCTGCTTTCTGAAACTCAGGTTTTTTGAAACGTGATTTTTTTTTCTAAAGCTTAATTTTATATATGTATACAGTGGGGCCTTGACTTATGAGTTTAATTCGTTCCGAGACCGAGCTCGTTAAGGAGCTCCTTAGAGCTGCAAAAAATCGGCCGAGAGACAGCTGGTATCTCAAAAAACTCGTTAGTCGGGACACTCGTAAGTCAAGGCCCCACTGTATATTAAATGGATTATATACATATGTATGTATGCATATATGCATCTATAGATAAATCAATAGATCCAAAAATGGTTTATTTCAAAGTACGTGGTAATTAGATTGAAAAATTCTGTATAAGTCTTGAGATTTTTTAATATAGAAAGAGAAATAGAGTAAAATTTTTAAAGTGTTAATTAGACTGAATGAAAATATCATTGGTCATTAGGGGCCCTCATGTGTAGTTCATAGTTTTATGATAATTATGTACTAGTTCTACTATCTCACTTGCGCTAGGGCTGAAGATAATTATCTTTCTCAATATCTGGTCTAAAAGGAACTTTGCTCCCTGAACTGGTTAACTAGAAAAGGCTATTCTACTTTCTTTACTCATAATGTGAATTTCTTTTCTTAATTTTCTGTTAAGTTATAATATAGTGTGCTCTTCTTATGGATGGTATTTAGGGATTTCTTTCACCTTTTTATTAACCTCCAAGTATAAAACTTTAAATTACCAAGGAATCAGTTTCAAAATACTATAAGTATTTCAGAACATTTAAAAAGTGTATGATGTTGCATAATTTATTGTTTATTTTAATAAATAATTAAGATCAAGGCTAGGACATGGGAAATAAACCATCTAGAGCCAGCAACATAACATCAATATCGGATGTTGAACAGTCATTTCATGTTCCAATGCGAGACCACCTCAAGTAGCACCCCCAGTGCCCTAACCCTCTCCTTGAAAATGAGTCTTAGGAGGATTTCAGAAAAGCAAATACTAGTAATCTAAGATCTCCTATTTTAAGAGAAGCATTTTCTTTAAAAGGGCAAAGGTTGGCATTATATTCATTCTACTTCTCTTTGACGAATGGGTTTCAGTTGCGGGGTAATTATTCCCAATCCATTATCATTGGGTAATGGAACCATTTGGTACCATCCAATTTCCAGAATCTTCTTCAGTATATCTACTTCAATACCAGAGCTTAGCACTTAAAGATCAACATTCTTCCCTTTAGTAGTTCCTACTGATAAATGAAAAGATAAGAATCCTCATCTGCATATTTGGCTTATCCACTACTCAGTCATCTTAAATGAATGAACTACCAAATAAATTCAAAGCAACTGTACTTTCAAGTAAAATTTTATAAGAAAGAATAAGCATGTATCTCTACAAAGGCTTATTTTAACATTTAAGAAATTCTTCCATAATGTCCTAATTAATATTAGCATGTAATATTTTAGATCACAGTGTTTTAATCTTTGTTGTGAATATAATTTAAATGTATTTTCAGTTTCCTAAGTTTTTTCTTAGAACACCAGATTTTACATTTTATATAAATAGATGAATGTACAAATTTCATGATAGTGTTTTATTCTCACTGCTGGGGGAAAATATATTGAAAATCTTACATCCATAATTTGGGAAAAAAATTCTTAATGGTTTTATTCCCTCTGATAATCTGTGCTGTGATATTGGCTTAATGAAGGAAACTTCTCAGCAGTGTAGAACTCCATCATTTTCAGAAAAAGAACTATAATGTACTTCTAAACGACGATATCCAACATATGTTACATATCCTATTTTCTAACTGATATTTTTAAATAAAGGAAGGAATTTATTAAGTGATTTATGAATCACTCTTTGACACACTCAATCACATTTCTTGATATACTGTTTTTCAGGGGTGGCTCAAATATAAGTTGATAATATTTCAGATATTTCTGCTTTTTGTACAGTAGAATCCAATTCTAATGATTTTTGTATTATAGGTATATTTTTGTGATATGAGTATCCCAGGATACTTAATTTGACTTTCAGTAGAAATAAGTCCTTTATAAAGCTAAGTGCTTTGAACCTGTTAAACATAGATTAGTAACTATGGTGGTAATGACACTGCAATAGTAATAGTGATCGGGGTAGAATTTAAAGATCTTTCTTTATCATCCACATTATATTCCTGACCATGAGAGAAAGTGAAAAGTAATCATCTTGAATTTATTATATATTTCACAGGCTTTCAAAATCTATTCTTGTGTTGCATAGCATAGAGCATACAATTGGACTCTGGCCAATAAGGGAACTTCTCTAGACTATCAAATAAGACTTAGGTCATGTCTATCTTATTAAAAATTAAATATATACAGGACTTGCTAGGAATGTCTGTCTATCCAGTAATAGATCAAGTGTAGAGTATTTCTTTGTATCAGGTGCTAAGAAGCCTTAGTGCTGAATCTTCTATAAGATGCTCAGATAAGTTTTATGACACTTTGTCTCTTTTATTCCACCACATGGTGACATGGCATATTTGCTTAAAAAAGAAAAAACACAGCTAAATAAATTCTATAAATGCCCTTTCCTATTATAGGACACAGAAGTCAAAGGTTAAGTGGAGGTGTGTTGTACGCTGATACCTACTAAGGCCCTGGCACCCAGAGTGCTGAGTGCAGAACAACCAACTCACCCTGAACAACCAACCAGAAAGCATATCTCCATACTCTTTCTTGAACATTTTTTCTTTCTAAACCAAAATCATTCCCTGGGAAAAACTAAAGTAAAATGTCACCCTCCAGCCTCTCTCAAGGCCTTCACAGCATGGCATGAGCCATCCTTCCCAGCCCAGTAGCAATAGATAGATGTATTAGAATGTTACTAGGCAGCACTTCTAGACCTTTGAATGAATTTACATAAAAATTCTGTTTTGTTCAATATATCCAGAATATAGCAATAATATTAAGATACACAGAAGTCTACTTTTACTCAGAAGATTCAGCTTAAATTATACCTCCCCAAGTTTATATAAAATGTCAAGCTATTGAGAAAGATGAAAGTCCTAGCTGAAGATTTTTCCCCACTAACATCATATGCTCCCTTTCAATGTAATCACTTACTTTGAATTTTTTAAAAACTTTGAAGTCAAAAATATAATAAAATAAAAACTTTGAAGAATTAGTGTAAGTTCAGTTTCATTCGAATTTTTTAAAAACTTTGAAGAATTAGTGTAAGTTCAGTTTCATTCTGATCATGGGTTTCTGTTCCCAAAACATATTTTTCCAAACTTACTCATTTAGAAATGTGTTCATATATAAAGATGTAAAAATATTTTATGCCATATGTTATAATCACCTGGCGAACATAGGTGAGAAAATTATGGGAAGTTCATGGGATTGGGCACTGCTTCAGGCAGCAAGAACACCTCACAAATTCAGCAGCTGAGAAAGGTTTAATTATTGGCTTTCATTCTACATTAATATCATTTCAAAGTCATTTCTACTACTAAGTCAAAATCTGGGAACCTAGTTTAAAAGAGGTAGTCTGTTAAATGAAATTAAATCTCTTAAGGTTTCACTGTCTAGCCTGATAATCGCTATGACAGCTCTATTTTGTCATTTGACACTGACGACCCCTTTCGAATACTAGGAGAGTTTCATTTTCCAAATAAAATTCTAACATGCTAGTGGTTTTATGTAGGAAAAATTCAGCAAAATATCTTCAAATCTATACCACAGCATAAAATATTGTTTTGTATTCACTACCTTCCCTGCATTTCTGTCTCTGTGTTTTGATGCACTGTTGTTATTTTCTTGGTTTCTTCCTTTCTTTGGCTTCACACTCGCTGCTCATTTTTAAGTTGGCTCCCAGGGAACCAGCCCCTCCTCTCACGCACAGAGCTTCTCCTGGCCCAGATAACGGAGCTCAGCAGGGGCCTAGCCAGGGGTGGCCATCCCTGACAGCTCAGTGTCCTCCGGCAAACCCTCTGATTCCTTTCCTGGACAACTTCTTGGATGAATTAGAGAAGCTTAGTGCTTTCACCTTACCAGCTGACCAAGCCGAGCCAAATATCTCAGAGGAGATCACCCTTGAAATTAAAGAGGAACCCTCAGTTCCCCTCCCATGGCCTCCAGCATCTGTACCGGCCAAATCACCTTCCCCTCGGCCACCCTTACGTGGCGCAGGTGCGACCTCAACTCCAGTCCAGCCCTATGAGACAACGCCAGTCCAGGACCCCAGAAAGACAACTCAGAACAAGTGTGCAGATTCGACAACAATGAGAAAAGGCTTTGCGAGCCCTGAAAAGGTGTCTGAAGTCCTAGGGGATAAGTTTGTGGCCTCTGCACACACTAATGTGGGTCCCTTGCCCCAAACCCTCCCTGTCATTGGAGAGGAAGAGGAGGAACTCTGTGAGGGGCTGATGTCAGGCATCCGAGGAGGGCTTGAATCTCAAGACCCAGATGCCTCGTGGTGGGGCCATGATGGCCCCGAGGTGACACCAAGTCTGTACATCAAAGAGGAGGAAGAGGAGAGGAAACCCAGCTGCTCACAAGGTGCAGTAGCCACCCTCCCAGGTCCTAGAGCCCCCAAGGAACACAGCCGTGCAGCTCACACCAATAAGGAGGTATTTCAATGTTGCCTAATCCCTGAACAACTAACCTGTCCTATGACGATTAGCTAGGACAGCTAATCATATTAATAAACATTGCCTTAGATGTTGTCCTTTCAAGAAACAAGCACTATATAAGTCAGGGTGGAGGAGTGAATAGCAACACAGCAAATTTTAATAAGATGATGGAAATGTATAATATAATTCCATTATTTATTTATGTTATAAATTCATATTTAAGGTGGGTTATACTATCATTTTAGAGATGAGGAAATTGATACAGAAAAGAAAGAGAAGGGAAGGGAAGGGAAGGGAAGGGAAGGGAAGGGAAGGGAAGGGAAAGAAAGGAAGGAGAAAGGAAAGGAAAGGGGAAGGAAGGAAAGGAGGAAGGAGGAAAGGAAAGGAAAGGAGGAGAAAGGAAAGGAAAGGGGAAGGAAGGAAAGGAGGAAGGAAGGAAAGAAAGGAGGAAGACAGTGTTCTGGTTCCCTCTCATCTCTTTCTGAAGAGAGAGTTTCCTTCCAATTGGTGACTACTGAAGAACTGGGTCCTGCCATTTTCATTTTAAAAACCAAGAAACTTGGGCCATAATTTTAATCAGTAAAGAGGGATAACACCCTAAATCTTTAGCTTGTCAAGTTCTCTTTTAAGAAAACGAAAACTCGATATCTCACATATGTAATCTGTGAATTACGTAGCAAATATGGGTACTGGAAAATAGCAAAATTATGAGACAAAAAGAATGAATGATTCATATTATGCCACTATGTAAGTCCCCCATGGATCTTCTATTGAAAGATTTCTGAACATGAAAATCATGTTTAAACATCATAATTTGCTACTTAGATTTTACCAATAACAAATGTAGAGGCACTTGGCCAACACAGGGTCTCCTTGGGCTTAAATAATGGTCAGTGCCCATGAGGCCCGTGGACAGTCACAACACCCTGAAGCTTGGCTGTTTCTCAACCCTGAGAGAAAACGTCACCTGAACAAAGAACCCAGCCATACCTGTATCTGTACCAGCAAAACACACTGCTTCATAATAGAGATCATTCATTGCAGTCAGTCAAGCATGACTCTAGTTGATCACTTAAATGGCTCATGTTCTCTTCAGTTTAATTTTAAGACATGATTAGATCTAGGGCTTGGGTCCCAGGAACTTCTACCTGCCTATAGACTATGGGGATTCTTACCTCCCACATCAGAAAAATGAAACTGATCATACCCATTGGAAATCTTGAATGAAATTCAAAAGAAAAAGTTCATGCTTTTAAAGCAAGAATTTGTCATAAATGTCACCAGTACTGGTTAACTTTAAACTTGTTTCAATATGGCGGATGTTACCTAAAGGCTGACCATGTGACCTCATTCTGGACACAAGCATAATCTCATCTTGTCTTTCCTCAATATTTAAGCTACCTTCATTTCCCTAGAGAGATGGACCGTCTACACCTTTCCCCAGCTGTCTGCTTCCCTCCCCTCCCTCTCCTCCTCCCTTGGCCTCGGCCTCACAGCTGGTCTCTACGCTTTCTCAGCCTGCCCAGTCCTACTCACCACCTCTCCTCCCTAAACACTCTTACCAACAGGAAATAAGTTCACCAAAATTAAAGGTAACTGCATCTTGTGTGTGGTTTCTTGCATGTCTTTATATGGACTTAATTAACTTACATGTATGTATTTCAATTTGTGCCATCTTACAAGATCTAAAAAAGTCATGTCAAGACTGATTGCTAACTTTTAACAACAGCAGCATGGCCTCTATCCAAAAAGTTAAAATATATATTTGCATAAGTTAAAATATATATACCCACAGGCAGGAGAAAAACAAACTAAAATTTACGTAAGATTTTTTTTTTAAGTTGAGCGTTAGCTGGAGAACCATCCCACTCAAAGGCGTCAGCTTTAATCATGTTTAAACATCATAATTTGCTACTTAGATTTTACCAATAACAAATGTAGAGGCACTTGGCCAACACAGGGTCTCCTTGGGCTTAAATAATGGTTAGTGCCCATGAGGCCCGTGGGCAATCACAACACCCTGAGGCTTGGCTGTCCCTCAACCCAGAGAGAAAATGTCACCTGAACAAAGAACCCAGCCATACCTGCATCTGTACCAATTAAACACACTGCTTCATAATAGAGATCATTCATTGCAGTCAGTCAAGCATGACTCTAGTTGATCACTTAAATGGCTCATGTTCTCTTCAGTTTAATTTTAAGACATGATTAGATCTAGGGCTTGGGTCCCAGGAACTTCTACCTGCCTATAGACTGTGGGGATTCTTACCCCCACATCAGAAAAATGAAACTGATCATACCCATTGGAAATCTTGAATGAAATTCAAAAGAAAAAGTTCATGCTTTTAAAGCAAGAATTTGTCATAAATGTCACCAGTACTGGTTAACTTTAAACTTGTTTCAATATGGCGGATGTTACCTAAAGGCTGACCATGTGACCTCATTCTGGACACAAGCATAATCTCATCTTGTCTTTCCTCAATATTTAAGCTACCTTCATTTCCCTAGAGAGATGGACCGTCTACACCTTTCCCCAGCTGTCTGCTTCCCTCCCCTCCCTCTCCTCCTCCCTTGGCCTCGGCCTCACAGCTGGTCTCTACGCTTTCTCAGCCTGCCCAGTCCTACTCACCACCTCTCCTCCCTAAACACTCTTACCAACAGGAAATAAGTTCACCAAAATTAAAGGTAACTGCATCTTGTGTGTGGTTTCTTGCATGTCTTTATATGGACTTAATTAACTTACATGTATGTATTTCAATTTGTGCCATCTTACAAGATCTAAAAAAGTCATGTCAAGACTGATTGCTAACTTTTAACAACAGCAGCATGGCCTCTATCCAAAAAGTTAAAATATATATTTGCATAAGTTAAAATATATATACCCACAGGCAGGAGAAAAACAAACTAAAATTTACGTAAGATTTTTTTTTTAAGTTGAGCGTTAGCTGGAGAACCATCCCACTCAAAGGCGTCAGCTTTGTGCCTGTCACTCTCTGTCACTTCTCAGTGGGCTCATCGCCTCGGGTGCTGCCCACCCATCGGCCAGGTCGGCAGAGCCTGAGGGCAGGATGCTTCTGGGCCTGGACTGTCTTGAGCCTTGTTCTCCCACGAAACTGAAGTAAACTGATGAGGATGCAGGAACGCAGCTCCTTTCGTTGTAGGCGTTAGCAAAGCATCTGCCTCTGAGATGTGCAGGCTGGCAGCTCTACTGCTATTTTAAAAAACCCTAAGGAGAGTGTTTTGAAAGATTTCACCAAAATGAATGACTAGCCTTGGAAAGAGACTGGACGACACTCGCAGAATGAAATCACTCCCTCCTGGGCAAGTTTTGCATTTATGATCAGAATGAGCCAAAGTTTTCCCCTTTAGGCAAGAGGTGATAGACTTCAAGTAATAACTCACCTTCACCTTCAACCTTTAGAACTTGACAGGAGAGACCCTGCAGAGAAGGGGCCACGCCGAGGCTGTTCTGGGAGGAGCCAGCACCTGAGCAGGGCCATTTGGGCAATCTCCCACCCCCGACTCAGCAGATCCACCCACCAAAATCGTCAGCCATGTGAATTCCTCTTACGCATGAAAGGAAAAATGTCTGAAAAGAATGGAATACTGGAAGACTAATTGATCTTTGCCCTTTGAGGTTTTAATCTTTGCTGGCAGGAGATAATTAGGAAATTTTTAAGATAATAACACTTGGATAATGTCTAAGACTAAGAATTTGCCTTCCCCTCCCTTCCCCCCTCCCCCGCTTTGTGGTTTTCTTTTTAAGGACAAAGTATTTATTTCTTGCCTTTCTCCTTGTTCTCTAGCCATTAAGCTTAGTCAGTAAGGGGAACGTAACTTAGAATCAGTGTTCTTTCATTTAAGAGACAGGGGTTTTAGGTCTCAGGCACTGGCAGAATGTGAGGGGAGAACGGAGGTGTTCACAATAAAGCTGTTTGAAAAGAATATCATAGTAACCACATCAAATAACTATCTCCAGAAAACTGAACTGGTTTTTTCTCTATTTCATCCCCTATGTGAGAGCAAATGTTTATTTTTAATCCCCCACTGAGTGTTTGGTTTTTTTTTTGAAACCTTATAAATTACTTTTCTATTCACAGAGAGATTATAAGCTGCCTGAAGTTATTTGTGCCCATAAAGATAATGAGTTTGATAAATAAATCAGCATCCAATGTTTTCTCGTCTTGCTGGCATCAACCCTGAAGAACAATGCCTAACGCATTTCCTCTCCAGCGACTGCAGATTTTAGGTCAATCATCACTAATTATTATGAAAATTGTCCTAAATAAGACAGTAATTAAATACAAATGGAATCAACTATAAGTTTTAGACCATTATTGTCGTTTAACCCCACATCTGACAGTGACAAACTGTGCTGACCTGAGTCCTTTAGGAACGCTTCCTATTCCTTCCATGTCAAGGATGTTGGAGTTACAAAGGAAAGTAACCCAGCACTAAAAGCTAAGAGAAAATACAATGTTAATAATGTTTTACTACGCAAAGTATAGTATGCAGGAAATTATTACAACTTTATCAACCCCTATCAACTACTTTTTTTAACTTAACCCACCTTAATTTTTTTAATATCTATTTTTATTGACTTCAGAAAGGAATGTAGAGAGAGAGAGAGAGATAAACATCAACAATGAGAGAAAATAATTGATTGGCTGCCTCCTGCACGCCCCCTACTGGGGATTGAGCCCGCAACCCGGGCATGTGCCCTTGACTGGAATCGAACCCAGAACTCTTCAGTCCACAGGCCGGTGCTCCATCCATTGAGCCAAACTGGCTAGGGCTTAACCTATCCAAATTTAATGCAATTTGATTCTTTTAAAAAATTTTCTCGGACAGTGTAAGTTTGTCACATGCGATCCAAAATTTTCCATAAAGTAAAATTTACCACTACTTTGTAAGTGACAGAAGACTGAAAAATAGAATGAGGTTGATAGATAAATCAGCATCCAATATTTTCTCATCTTGCTAGCATCTTTTCTTTAAATAATGGTGTTTCATAATACAAGTCATTATACTCCTCAGCTTGTCCACAAGCTGAGCTTCCTATTCCACCTAAGAGAATGTTTTGTAAAGGAGACTTACAGCACGAGGGCTCCAATTGCAATAGAAGCTCTTTATGAAGCGCTAGGAAGGCTCTTCCTTGGTTTCTTCTAAGAAACTCACTGGGGTCCCATCAGGAAGTCTCCTCACCCGCCAGCCATCCCATCAGAAGGTGGTCCCCCCAAGCACAGATTCCAACATAAAATGAAAACCTGATTCTCCCTAATATGTTCAGATGATCTCCCCAGCTGTTGATCCGCATCATTCTAACAGCTAAATGGTATTTCTCTGATGCTTATAGACAGTCTTCCCTGTATTAGTCAAGACTGGGGTAGCTGCAGTGCCAGAAGACACAAAAAAGTATAAGCTTAAAACCAGGTAGACGTATACTTCTCTTAGGCATAAAGCTAAGCATCCAGGGCTTGTATGTAGCTCTGTAGTCATTAGAGAACCCAAGAGATTCCCCTTTCCTTTGGCCTCACCATCCTCAAGGAGATGCGCCCGCTGCAAAGTGGCTGCAACAGCTCCAGCAGTCCCGTCCTCGTCCCGGCACGCGGGAAGGACAGAGGCAGGGAGTCTGTACCTCTTGAAGGCCACTTCCCAGAAACCGCACGTTCCCATCGGTCAGCACTTATCACATGAGCGCATCTCAGTACAAGACTGGGCTAGAGACTTCATTCAGAATGGCCACGTGCCTACCTAACATGCGGGATTCCATTACTGAAGGTGGACAGAGGAGAGAATGGATGTTGGAGAGCCACAAGCCTGAAGAACAATGCCTGACGCATCTCTTCCCCGGAGGCTGCGGAGTTCAGGTCACCGGTGCTCCATCCATTGAGCCAAACTGTCTTGGGCTTAACCTATCCTAATTTAATGCAATTTGATTCTTTTAAAAAATTTTCTCAGACAGTGTAAGTTTGTCACATGCGATCCAAAATTTTCCATAAAGTAAAATTTACCACTACTTTGTAAGTGACAGAAGACTGAAAAATAGAATGAGGTTGATAGATAAATCAGCATCCAATATTTTCTCATCTTGCTAGCATCTTTTCTTTAAATAATGGTGTTTCATAGTAAAAGTCATTATACTCCTCAGCTTGCTTGCTTTGAAAGAACGCCAACATAGTCTCAGGGTGCTTGGAGTTAGGGCAATATTTAGTATTTAACCGCATTTCATCATTTTCCCCAGAAAAGTCATATTTTCTTCTTATGAGTTTGGTTAGAATAGCCCCCCACCACCACCCCGACAAATGATTGACACTTCCTATGCAATTTGATGGATAGTAAGTAAAATTGCCCTCTGTCTTACTTTGTATCTATTCAAATAAACAAAGAAAACAGGCCAAATCTGAGGGTGTCTTGAACCCAGTTGTTCAGCATTCTGCGAAAGGCATACGTTTTCTGGGATGTGCTCTTAGCCATGTCGGCTGCATTCAAGCATCTTTTCTGTGCTCTGCTCTGCTCTGCCTGTGCGTTCGGATTGAAGCACAAGGGATGCCTGTGTGTGAAAGGCAGGGGCAGCCGGAAGAGCTGTCTGCAGGGTGAGACCCGTCTCCTTGGCCGGGTGCAGGGGCCTGGCATGCTGTGTGTGCATGAAGAACAAGCAGGCAGCTCCTGATGCTGGAGGAGGAGATGAGAACTAACTCCCTTCTTGTGGCTTTTCCAGGCCGATGTAAAAGGCGAGACATTTGTCTTGGGTAAGCCTCCGCGTAGCCCAGTGATGTCTAGGAGGTCCTGCAGCTCGCCTGTCAGAGGGCTCAGCGGTTCCCACAGGGTAGGGACGGACCGCCCGCCTTGGGCCAGGCA